GTGAACACAAAATTTTCACCGAAAATTGTAAATAATACACAATTTGATGACACTGCGTTACAATAATACTGCTGCTATATAATATAATCCATATACAATAATCCAGTAAGTGTATCATAGATACTCTAGCTATCACCGTCATCGCAGATAGTAGTAAGGGTACGTAGTACCTCGCAGATATTTAGTAGTATAAAATAGGTACCTAATATAAAATGTCTGGCCAGTCCCCTTCGTATTGTAGACTAGTTAACCTTTCGATCATGGTTCAACCTTGACCGAAATATTAAGAAATTGTTTACAATTCGTTGCTTTATGTCATCAACAGATATATCTATTAAATATTATGTGTTTTATCTAGAGATTTATTGATAATATCTTTAGCTAACTAACCGAGCACTTTTTAAATAATAAATTAGAAATATTAAAATTTATTAAATAGTTTTTGAAAATTAATATATAAACGCGACGTTGCCACACTTCATTAAGTTAAAGTTGTGATCGCTCATAATCTCATATTCATTTTCGATGTGTCAAATTCTTCAAAATTGTTGAAAATACTACTCAATCAAATTCTACATACAATATTATTTTTATTTTACATACAAATTATCATCTACTTAATTTTTTTTAACATTATAAACATAAGGAATAAAATCTCGAAAATTATATATGGTACATCATATACCCATAATATAGTGTACACACTAAGGATATACATTATGAATATCAAAATTTTTTTCTTTATTTAAAAAATTAAATAAATTATAGAAAATTAAAAAAATACCCTTAAATTTAGCACATTTTTTATGCAACTAATTACGAACAAGTTGACGCCCCAATTGTGGATGGAAAGTGGTAACCGTCCCCTATAGACATGAACAGTATGGACATAACAGAGTATACTGTTTCGCCCATTATATTTCTTATGCGTTGGCATTCCTGAGAACTAAGGTATTATGCCTTTGTACCCTGTAAATGCATGCATGCATTGCCATATCCCACCCTTCAAACCGAAACATAGTGTAATGTGCATACGCACTTTTTCGTAAAATTTATAGCCAGCAGAAATAAATTATTAAAAAAAATTGTCCTCAGATTCTTCATCCTGGCGCCTGTAACTAAAAAGACCGGAGCCAGTTCCATTGGCAAAAGTGGAACTGGATTCACAGGCAAGAGTTCTTCAAATTCTTTCGGAAAAGGTGGCAACTCTATTGGGAAAAGTACCAGTTTGGGTAAAACACCCAACATTGGAAAAGTCCCTAGTAACGTTACAACACCAAAATTAACTGGGTTCACATCAAGTAATATAAGTACCAGCAGCAATAAGAACTATTCGTTAGTCGGACAATCAAATAGCAAACCTTCAGTGAGTTTGGGAATCGTTTGGATACCAAGTAAAAAGCATAAGAAAAAGGATATTGTGTATAACCACCAAAATTACGAGTATGGAAAGGAAAGATCGCCGTCAATGTATAAATTGTAAGTTATATAAGTACTTAAGTGTTATTTTTATTACTAATCTTTACCAGCGACTTAGTCTGCATGACCGGAAAATATTGATATAAGATACCAAAGGATATTTTGTATCAATCTTTCAATAAATTTAAAATTGGCATTAAAAAACATTTATTGAACAAAGCCTATAATACACAAATTTAGAATTTATTCTAATTTAACATTTGGAATTAAGAATTGAGAATTTATAATTTTTAGAATTTAAAACTTAGATAATTCAAAAGTGTCAAATTCGCAACACAAAATTATTAAAAATTATATTCATATCAAAAATATGAAATCTCTGAATGAAACATGAAATCTCTTTTTAATGTCGGTTAAAAATAAATGTGACAACCCTTACGACAAATGTGCCATGAAAACAAATTCCTATACGCAATAAACCACGGTATAAAGTCTCTTTACACTGCTATTATTAGGTTCAAACTGTGAGTATTTACTTTTTTAAATTATTATGATAATTTAAAAACTTGTAAAATAAATTTGAAGTTTCATAGCAAATAATATTGCCATGCAAATAATAATAACAGTGTAAAACAGTCTCTATATAGTGCTTTTTCGCCAATACAAATCTGTTGCCATGCTATATTCGTCGCAAGGGTTGTCACTTTTATTTTCAATCATCTTCAATACGAAGAGATTCTCAAAATGATTGTTCCTGTTTTCATATGTTGTATATGAATATTAGTTCTGAATAATGTTCTCAATTTGACTACTTTTAAATTTTCTACATGAAACTCTCAATTCTAAATATTAAATTCAATTAACTTATAAATATTACGCAACTTGACTCAACCAAGTCCGTAAGTCAGTTTAATTGAGTAGAGTGTCGAATCTAGTCCTATTAAGCAACTTCGGACAAGATTTTTTTTATGGGTGAAAATAGAATGGTGGGGTTACTATTCGATTTTCACCCATCAAAAAAAAACATGTGCTAACGGGATACGCTAGCGGAACACCAGTGAAGGGTGATAGATGAGAATGAAAACAGGTCAGTTAGCCCATCATGATGAATTCATCAGGAATTAACCATGATAGTTTCCAGGGGGAATATTGCTGCAATGGAAATCTTAGTCTCCATTACTAACAATCCCTTTCCCCTCACTTCGGACAAGTTTGGGTGAGCTAAATTTGGTCACTTAAGTCGATGTTAGGCTAAGTTTATTTAACTTGACCAAGTTCGGTCAAGTTTCGCCAAGTTTGGCCAATTTTGTCTAGTTGGATCATTTAAATCGGGTTTCGTATAATTTGACCACTTCAGTCCAATATAGTCAAAGATTACCAAGTATGGTCAAGTTTGATCAAATTAATCTTCTCCTACTATATATAACAACTTTACCGGAGGGAGACTTTGTAAAAAGTCGTTTGCTTGGGCACCTCTGTCCTATTCGTGTTTCAACCGAAAAGCAGTTGTGTTTGCATGGCTGTGTTTCGGTTTGAAGGGTAGGATATGGCGTGAATTTACAGGGTACAGAGGAATAACACCTGAGTCCTCAGGAATGATAACGCAATGGGGGGTATCATGGGTGAAACAGTATACTCTGTTATGTCCATGGCACTGCTCATCTCTATAGACGACGGTTACCACTTACCATCAGGTGGGCCGTCAGCTTGTTTGCCATTCTAAGTTGTATAAAAAAAAACTTGACAATCAATCATTCTTAAATTTACCCAAAACTTTCTAAAAAATTTAAAACATTAACAGCCGCTATATTTTATATCAAAATCTATATCATATTTTTTTTTTAAATAACCAACCTAAATTTATCAAAAATGATACCCAGCATAAAATGTACACTATTTATTAAATGTAAAAGCATAATCAATAAAAACTAAATTCTGTAATCAAAAACGTTTAAAATAATGAAATAATTAGTCAAATAATAAAACTCGGTGAATGTATCATACATTAGGAATGCACGACTTTATTAATCTGACTACTAATTATATGATTGATCAATTCATTCAGATTATTCGAATGAATTTGCCGACTACAAATTTCAATTACTGTACGTTTGTACTAGTATTCCCTAGTAGTTGTTCATGTACGAATCGGTATGAAGGTAGCTGAGTCGACCCAATGACCTGATACGACCTTGGAATGTCTTTTTTTTGTTAATGGTTAAGCAATCTGGCAATTTAGTAATATTTAGTACAAAGTAGCAACATTATTGATATACTTTTTTTTTATGGGTGATAATGGAATGGTAGCCCCGCCCGCGCTATTGGTATACACTGGCGGGGCACCAGTGAAGGATGATAAATGAGGATGAAGCAGGTCAGTTAGCCCATTGTGACGAATTCAACAAGAATTGTTCACGATGGTTTCCAGGGGAAACCACGTGGAGGTCGACCTGATAGTGTATTGCTAGCAATGGGTTCATTAGACCCCATTACTAACAATCCCTTCCCCCCAACATTTGACACTTGTCAAAGTAAATTTGTAGTAATTAATTATGATGTATATTTCAAATGAAAAGAGTGGACCAACTCGAATCGAAAATTGACAATTAAGTCGAAACCGAATTACTAATTAGTAAAATCTTTCGAATACCAAAATTAGTATATTACTAATTATGTGATCGAATTATACAATTAGTAATTACTAATTAATCAAATTACAAAATCATTCGAATTTGTGCGCCACTACATACGCTTATAGGTAGCAGTTCTACGGCATTTTCTTTTTACGCTCAGCACGACACTTATTCTTAAAGTCTATTACAAACATATTTTAGCTATTGAAGTCTTATATCATTTTCTTTCAAATTTTGAATTTAGTATAAAAGAAAATGACAAAACACTTCTATTATTAAAACAGGTTTTTGCGACGTTTCATTTTTTTTTATGAAATAATAGTGTTAATGTAAGACAGAGACAATTTTTTTTTATCTATTATAGTATTCTGTTACTTTCTTTCAAATTAGGAATTTAACACCAAAGACAGAGACAAAACAGTTCAATAGCTAAAATAGATTTATGACACTTAACATTCTTATGAATAAGGGAGTTAATCTATAACACAGATAGAACTATTCTGTTTTCTTTATCGAGTACTAGTGATCGAACCGGCCTTGGCTTCCCAAGAGTAGATACATAGAAAATAATATATCTGTATCAGTCACTATTATGTAGCTTACTACAGGTGAAAGAATTTATTCCAGACAAATTATCTTTTTGAAGACTAGGCAGCATGGTCTCCGACCTTAGCCTGTTCCAAACGGAACAAACGTACTAAAAAAAAAAAAAAAAAATGAAAGAATTTTTAAAATCGGTTTAGTTTTTGAGTTTATCCATTACAAACAAACAAACTATTAAATACTTCTGCTTTATAATACTAGTAGTATAGTATAGATGTCAAACAGTAATACCAACTTGCCAGCGACGCCAAAGTGCCTGACTTAAGCCGGTGACAGTGTATAAAGTCAAAATGTCCCATTCAGCAATAAATAATACCTAAATAAATAAAAATTAAACAAGTGAGTGAGGTGACATCATGCATCATAATTTATTTAGCAAGTTATTTAGGTCTAATCCATAGTGTTCTATCAATCTTGTTTAGGTATTTCTGCATAAAACATAGTTGATTTGAATAGATTTTTTAAAATAAATTGTATTTTTTAACTAAAAGTTTTTATAACAAAGTAACTATTTTCTACTTATTTTGTATTTGAACTTTTTGGATAAAACTTATGTTTTTTACGCTATGGAAATGCAAGACAACAACTTTCAGACCATTATAAGTACATGGCGTCGTATATCTGGAGAGGAAATAGAATCCTCTGTTCCAACAAGGTAATAATTATATTATCTGCCTATAGGTGCAATAAGAGTTGTTTTATTAAGTATTGTATACCGGCATAGGTATGTTATATCTGTACTACCGTGTGGTAGTAATACGATACCTTTGGAGCCTTCTGGAATTCTTTTTATATATCTTCTAAGTAATATGTGTATAAGTATCCTTAAAATTTTCCAATATTTGTTTATATGTTTTCACATATTGAAATTAAAATATATTGTAACTCAAGAAACTATATTTGTCATTGCTGAGTGTTGACAAATTATTCAATCCCAACACTGGTAAATTAAATTTAAAAAGATGTTTATATGTTGTCTCACAAAAGCAGAACAGTATTGTTTATATTGCACCATAATTCAGTATTTACTATATTTGATACATAAACACAGTTCATAATGTAGCAAAAAAAGGTTTTAATCTTTTTTACTAAATTATACTTACCATAACTCACAGGATATTCTTTATTTATCTGTTAAAATTTTAAATATTATTTTCTTTTCAGTATGTCTGGTGATTCTAATGAATATGATTTTCAAAAGAAGAAAGATGAAGACAGCCATTTATTAGTTCCGTCATTAGTATCAGAAAAATCAAAATCCCCACTAGCAGCCATTGCCACAGCTGAAGTTGCAACAGCCACTGTTGACTTGCCTTCAGCCAATATTGGAGATTCAAGTACAGAAGAGAAACAGGAACTTATGAGGCAAGATAGCGATGACACCAAAGTACGTAACTTTGATACTTAATAGTTCTTACCTGTGACTTTGTTTGTGTGAATCAATATATAAAGTATCTTATGTGGTAGAATAAAGTATACTTGTATTCTATATTTCATTTAGATATAATCAACTGTTTAAGCATGATAAGTAAAAAATCAAATCCTTGAAAATTTTATAATATTACACATACACAGATACTAGGGTGTTCCAAAAGATTAAAGTTTTTTTTTCATACACTTTTTAATTTATTTGTATTGTCAAAATAATTTTACATGTAATGTGGGATCATGGCAACTTATGCTGAGTGTCATCGATATATGTCAGTAATTGTGGACTAAGACAAACATAAGCTAATATGTAGATATGCTTGTTTTTGCTCTCTGTTACTTTTTTTTATGCAACTTTGAATGGCAAACAAGCTAATGGCCCTCCTGATGGAAAGTAGTAACTGTCGCTTATAGACATGAGAAATACCGTGGACATAACAGAGTATACTGTTTTGCCCATGAAACTTTCCATATGTTGCTATTCCTGAGGACTCAGGTGTTATTCCTCTTTACCCTTTAAATTCACTGACATATCTCACCCTTCAAACTAAAACAGCCATGCAAACGCAACTGCTTCACGGTAGAAACACGAATGAAACAGAAGTGCCCAAACAAACAACTTTTGTACAAAGTCTCGTTCTAGTATTTTGTCAGTAAACATATTTCTTTTAAATCAGGTAACATGTTAGTTGAATTTCACGTTTAAATAATATGAAACAATATTTATCATCAAATAATAGGTTTATTACTTATTATTTCATGATAAATAATTCAGCAAAATATCTTATTTTTTATTCAGAAGTAAAATAGTAAAAGGATCAAAAATGATGCTATTACATACAGATTGAAAATGACTTCCTTTTATTTGTTTATAGGAAGTAGCTGGAGATATTAATGAAAAGGATGACAAGTATAGCGACTACCTTGAAAACAATTCTGATGAAGAAAATAAATCATCTGAAAATAAATGGGAGAAAGACAAACTTAGTGATAAAGTAGACAGTGTATACTTGAGACCGCCTCCACCAAATAAAGCTCGCTCAACGGCTTCCACACCAGAAGAAGAAGACTGTGGTGTCAAATGCCTATATTACACTCTTCAATGCTGCGACTGTGTATTAATGTAAGCAGCTATCTTGTGCCTAATCTCCGATCACTACAATGTACCTCATTTTAATTAAATTAGCTATATGTAGTTAAAAATCAAATTACACTATTAATTTGTGTTATTTGGTTAATTAGTGTCAACTAAAAATAACTTTACTCTTCACTAATGGTTATTGTATTATGTATGCAAAAATCTTGGGTGGAATATAATTCACTAAATATCATTTAGTTCCTATAGTAAATGTCCATATATATAATATGGAAGCATAACAAAGCGGCCTCCACATATGTAGTCAAAGAATTTTTTGACATTTCTTAGCTACCAATACATTTTTCATTTGTCTCAAGGGCCAGAACTGTAAATCTAGACAGATCAATATAAATTCATCACTTGTGATAGAGATTAGGATTTATTTAGTTGGATATCAAGGTGGTGATTTATTAATCAATCTGTGATTGAAATATCTCTCCATTCTCCTATAATAACTAGGGTTTTTATTTAAAAAAAAGTGGTATTTTAATTGCTCATCTTTGTAGACAATAAGTATTTTAATTTTAAATTTGTTAATGCCAGTTTAAAAAAAAGTGTATGCTGAATCAGAAAATAAGGTTGTATATGACAGCGTGCAGTTGATGTTCTCTTTTATTATGTAATAATTTATGACTATTTTCATAAATATTACGAATGATAAATTCTTGAATGTGATACCATATGCATATTATTTAGGATAAAATAGTTTATCATTTAATCTTTTGTTTTACATAACTCCTAATATTCTTGTGTGTAAAAGTATTGTTTATAAGGATAATATTTTTGAGAAGTAATAAAATTGTTGTAATGCTAATATGCTGAATTGTCACTGACATTTTGAATACATATTATGTGTATGTAATTTCTAGACATTATATATTCAATGATAAACATGCTCATTTGTAACAGAAACACTACTATTGATTCAAAAGTAATAAAATAAATATATTTTTTTCTGAATTATGTATATATACATATACAATTCATAAGTTGATGTACCTATTTACATTCCAGGATAATACAAACTTAACAAATAATTTGTGATAAAATTTTGTTACTTTATTTCTAACATTGATTTTTTATGTTTACTATTAAGTATATTTAGGTGGGTATTTACAAAGATGATTTTCTTAACAAGAAGATAATATTTAAAGGCTGGCAGTATTCATTCCTTTAAATGTCAGTTGATGATTACACTTGAATTTTTGTTTAATTTTATGATTTGTATGGCTTTATAATTGAATTTACTTTTTTTTAAGGTTTTGAAAGTAATGCCATTATTATAAAAAGGAGAAAATGTGTTCTAGATTATAATGTATATTTTTTATAAAATACGTTTAATATAAAATTTCAATATTACTTATACATTTTGTATTTTCATAATATAAATAAATTCTAATAAAAGTACATGTTTTTATTGATTTCTCACGATCGTTAATTATATAAGACCTGCAGTCAATTCCATACCGACTTGTAGTCTGTTTTTATAGAACTTAGTGTAAGTATAATCAAGCTATGTTGAATTCATCAGAGAAACGCAGCTTAAATAAAATTAATAACAAATCGATATTAGTAGACGTGTCTCTTGGTCTGATCAATTATTTATTCGTTCACATTTTCATTAAGATGTCCACAACTTTAAAAACTCGACATTTTAGCAGTTTCATTTTATGGTGTACATTCCACTTATAAAGCTATAAAACAATGGATAAACAGTTGTACTCGTACAAAAATCCATTTTCAAAGAATCATTAAATTTCATATACAAGTTTTTGGTTAGAAATAAATACTTATAACAACATTTTTGAAAATCTGTCTCCTAAAAGGGTAAAATAGGGACTGAAAGTTTATATGACTTTTCGTCATTTTTAAAGTACAAAATACAACTGATTTGAGAACCTCTTTATCTTTGAAGTCGGTTGAAAATAAAAAAATTGCCACCTTTGAATGTAATTTTAAAAAATTATAACCATTTCAGATCTATACATAAAAATAAATAGTAAATTTTAAAACCATTATTTAGATTTTTTTTATGTTCAACCGACATCAAAAAGAAGGAGGTTCTCAATTCGGTTGTACTTCTTAGGGTTCTGTACCTCCAAAGAAAAAAACGGAACCCTTACAGGATCACTTCATTGTTTGTACGTCTGTCCGGCCAACCGTCTGTCCAGACTTTTTCTTAGGAACGCGTGGAGGTATCGAGTTGAAATTAATATCTTATACTCAGGTGTGTATTATAGTTAGACATGAATTTACAGGGTACAGAGGAATAACATTGAGTCCTCAGGAATGGCAACGCATGGGGGATATCATGGCCGAAACAGTATACTCTGTTATGTCCCTAATACTGCACATGTCTATAGGCGAGGTTTCCACCAGGTGGGCCGTCAGCTTGTTTGCCATTCTAAGTGGTATTAAAAAAAATATTGTCGTCTGAGCATATTATTAAATTGATTTGGGAAGCTGACGTTGGAAACGAAGAATAAAAATTATAATGATCTAGTAAAATTCAATGTTAAATTGTACAATATTTATTATACAACCAAGCATAACTTGGAAGCTTATTTTTCAATAAATGATAGGTACATAATACGCGTATTATTTACAAATAACAGATAAAACTACAATATTCGGTATTATATTGTAATCCTAGAGTGTTTATATCCGAACAGTTGTTTTGGTAACACCGAAAAGATTTTAGACCTGCATTGAACATAACCATCAAATTCATAAGACATCACAAGAGATCTCAAACTATTAGAATCGCAGCTGCTGCAACCACCAGTTTGTCGCAAATCATATTATATAAATCATAGTATGTATACCTAGCCAAGTTTAAAAACCGTCTAGTGTAAAGGGTGTAAATATTATGAATAATAGTAATAGTACTTTGACTGCTTTTTTATACAATCCTGTTGATATTGGTAATTTGCTTTACATGAGGTCACGGATTTTATTTATGGTCGGATCAATTTAAGTATAGATTTTTTTCTAGCAGTCTACTAACTCGATGACCAGAAAATTTGTGTAATTTTATTCTTGAATTCGTTTTTATTCGTTATTATTATTACTTACAATAAGAATCACATATAGTGGATATTTTACCCCTAGTATTCCTCAAAATTTTTATATTAAAATAGACATACCATATATTGATATGACAGGCATTAACACACAGACAGACAAACTAAAAGAACTTTTAAAATTAATATAATGTGTACATTAATTTTATATAACATCCTTTACACCATACAATACCATTAATTTGATGGCGAATTGTATTTGAAATGAACGATGGCATAAACCATTAATAATTCTATATTGGTGATATCTTAGATAAAGTATCTCCATATAAATTTTTGCCAAAAACAGTACAACTTTTTTATCTATGATGAAATTATGATGTGTGGGTAAATTGAAAAATAAAAACAATATAAAGTTCTTACCAATATATTTGAAGTCATAAAATTAACAGTGCATAATGATTTGTAATTATTTTTATCTTACCGAATACTTTGATTTATATATGACTATAAACATAAAATGTGTTTTATTTTCTAAGTTTTGAAAAAGCCTGCCATTTTAATTCAAATGGCACAATTAGCTGAATAAATTTTGACACGTTTTTGACACTTGATGCTCTATTCCATTGTAACCTAAAGATGATACATAATCACTAAATTCCACGATGTTTTCTTACCGTTAACTATATAACATTGTTTAAATATATATTGCAGTTAATATAAAGAAATTGTTTAATAAATCTGGCCATGAATTTTTCTAAAATAATTCTGCGTCTCCGTTCCTGGAGAATTATCAGAATTGGGACCGAACTAGAGGGCGCTAGCTAGGCAAATATCCAGAACGGCAAAATTAAGGCCAATATGATTATAGCATAGTTACTTATAGCAGTAAAATTGATCGCATACTATTATTAGTACTTGAAGGTCACGGAATTTGTTAATAACATTTTCGATTAACAAGAAGTACACAAACAGTTATCATCATGAAAAATAATAACATAACACATAATAGTTTACAGTACATTTTTAAACACCAAGTACATTATAGTCCCATTTCATTTCACTGAATATTCTATAAATAATTTTATAGAAAAATAATTATCTAATTGGAATTAAGTAATAAAGAAATCTACAATTACGTGATCCTTTTAAGAGTATATTAAGATGTACATACACTTTTTATAATATACAAGTTTTTTGTACTTGTGGATATCCGAAGTAGGAAAACCAATGAAATAGAGCAATTCTAGATGGCGTATAAAACATACACCACTTTTTAAGATAGACTTTCAGGAATACAAGTGTGAAAATCGCATCCAATTTGGTGAAGTTTTTGCGTAATGTCAAAACAGATTGATGGACAATATTTCTAAAATTATTGTTTTAGCATCTACTGGTCTTAAGACACCTCATATATATTTTTAAACTACGATCAAATGTCTGCACAATAACGCCATCATTAAACTCAATTAAGTACCTTGGTACTTAACACGACTTAGACAAACCTATCAGGATCAGAAGATCGTATACCAATTGAAGGACTAGAAGTTAAATTGTCGAAGTGACGAGAAAATTAGATATGCTTATGAAGGGGGTTCATAACGAAGTATTTTTTAATGTTTCTGGCTGAATATTAAAAAAAAATTACTAGAAAATTAAAACGTTAATCATAGAGAATATTGCAAATAAATCTACCATTAAGAACTCTGTACTTATTTCATATTTTGCTTCAAAACTTTTCAAATTGATTGAGAAAAATTTGTGCCTTCAAAATCCATATTAACATAAATCCATATTATTTTTAAATAATTAGTCTGAATCATTAAAAAAATGTTCAATTATTTTTGAATATTGACAGATAATTGCGACGTTGCCACATATCAAGTTATGAACACTCTTTAAAAAAAATGTTTAAATATCACCTCGAGCAAATACACCGACAACTAGTTCTGAAAAGCAAGTAGTTATCTAATACCGTTTACAATTCTTAATAACCATACTATACGATAATTAATTAGAAATTTGCATTACATTAGCGCATTAAGCTCTGTATGTGTGTACTTACGAGAACTATTTCTATGGTAACTAAATTGTAATTAGTATCGTGGGCCAGAAAGATTTCGCGTCTCTAAGTTCACATATGAAGCAATTTATATACGTGTAAGCTCGTAATTACGCGGCTCACGCTCACACTCATTACACAGTATGTCCACTGGCCATCTCTATGATACTCATATGGTGGTATTATTACTACTACTTATTAATTACGTTAGTCAAGAGTCCATTACTTCTTTCTCTCCATAGTAAATAATAATACAATTTTACATACATTTTATTACATCAAGAGAAGACTTCGTTTCAATTATAATAATAATTTAAAATAACACAAAATAACTCTTTTGGTATTTTATATTAATATTTAATTTCTAATCTCACAAATCAATTGTAAATAACTTTTGGTTTCTATTAATTTTCGTACTTACAAAAAAAGTTAAGAAATGTCATTAAAATATTATCATAGGTCAATAAACATCATTAGTATTACATTTTTAGTTATCAATTAGTTAACATTAAGTATTAGCATAAGCATATTTTCACATCATGTGTAGACAGACACACAGGTTTAACTTTTAAAACAGCTACATACAGAAATAAAATAATATCAACATACAGTATTAAGTCTGCATCGATCAGTGACGTTATGGAAATAGAAAATTATATAACATTTATTGATATTTTAAAAAAGGACAGTACATTTTGCCTCGGCATATTTCAATTCATTTTTATTTACAATTAACTTTTAAATTTAAATGTGCGTTAAGATTCTAAAAACAATTGAGTGTACTATATTGGACGCTTTCTTTGCATTGGTACATACATGCACTAATTTACCAATCCTTCCGTTGCGTCCATGCGTTAGCTAAAGAGCATGCTAAGTAACTGAATTGCGATGGTTCTCACTCTCTCTTATCAAGCATGCACTGTACAAATACTTGACTACAGCGCACACACATGTATGCACCTATGCATGTTGAATACGTATAACTGTAGTCACACTTATTGATCCGTAAAATTATCAGATAACCCTTATTTGTAGCCTAATGGAAACGCATACAAAGCTAACGATTGATCTAAAATTCCATTGGAATGTTACTCATTCTTTCAGTCTAGTTTTTTGGTTGTTTGGTCCTTTAAGCTAGCTAGCTAGCTTAGATAAAGCTTAACGATTGTTCACTTTGCAACAGTTTAAGTTGGAATATTAGATGTCAATCGCTAGCTTAAAACATTCAACGATTTCGTTATGTCAAATTTCAAACAATAATGTGTTTTAAAACATATTCCGGAATTAATATTAAGTATTGCTCTGCAACATCAAAACGTAAAACGTATAAAACGCAGGTCACTCACGAATTTATAAACTCATATTTCCCTCTTGAAGTTTAATTTTTTTTTTATCCTTAAATTCCAATTTTTCAGCGACAAACTAGTAACAATACATGATTTTTTTATTTGACACATGACATAAACGTTAATTGTCTGAACAATTCTATAACATTTCAAGGATTCTCAATGAACACTTACAAAGAAATCTCATCGCATCACTGATAAAACTGCAGTGTCTCTTGACATTGGCAAAATTATCGGAGCCCCGATGAGGACATAATTAAAACAAAAAGAAACAGTTAATTTTAGGAAGCGTTATGTTATGTCTAAATAAAACTTTCATGCTATTTCTATTATTTTTAATACTGTGTCTCATTATTATAATATGCTGTGACACTGATCTACAATATTCATAACATTCATTCTAATAATTTTCGGTCAAATCGGTTAAAGGGATTCTCGTAACGTCAAAATTTTAAAGTAACATCAAAAGAATAAGGATGCACATACTGAAGTAATCAAGTCTTCAGTCTTTCTTTGCCTTTGATGGCAAAAATGATGAAATTTTATTACAATATAATTTCATAATAATCACAATACATTCAATTTAAATAGCTAAATTTATTTTATAATGACTATATTATATATTATACATATTGGAGGCGTTTATATTTACAGTTATAGTTACTGTTACAAAAAGGGTGAATAAAATTGTCAGCATCATTCCAAGGCAGTGTTCTACAAGTAAAATAGGACATTTTTCCTCTTTGGAATCATGGGTTAATAAAGGAAGAAAAATTTTGAGTTTACCTTAGGTTTAGTAAAAATGAAGTTTTTATTTGGAAACACCATTCTATTTCTCTGTTAGTAGCAATTCTTTGAAATGATGCTGATAATTTTATTTTACCTGTTTTATATAAATATTGAAATAGTAAAAATAGTTACAAGAATATGAATACGTTTAATAAGATCTGTAATAATATCGCCTGTATCTTTTTGTATTACATGCATAATATTATACAAAATAGCGATAGACATTTCAAGTGGATTCTATTTTTATATTTGAAGTATTTCCTTCAACAACATTTAATGATATAAGAAATGCATATAGATACGTAATAAGAGATAATAAAAGAACTTAGTTAAAAACATATAAATAGTGTATACAATAATTTAAAACTATGTACACATATCACATAATTCATTTGATAAAACTTTTATAAATGAAGAAAATTGTATAATAAATGTATATTTTGTGCATTGTCAGTTTACACGCTCGCTGTGCAGTTTTGATAAAAGAACAATATCAATGACAAGATATATTTTGGATATGAATTAAGCTATCTACAAACGTGGTACAATAATAGTTTTTTTTGGTAAAAACAAAGACCACGCTAACCACTTAAAGATGGGTTAAAATTAAAAATGTCTTCCTTAAAAATCAGGGCGACAATTAAAATACTTGATTAATCTTGGTCCCTATTACTAAAGAAAGAAAAAATCAAGCAGGTTAAATTTTTTATATTGTGATGTATATTTATGTACTGTGATGAACAAGTATTAAGTAATTATTACATTATAAATAAAACTAAAATCACTATTAATGTAGTAATAATAACAAAGAAATTGACAAATAAAATGTTAAAAAAGAAATGAGACACATAACGCGTAAATAAATCATTTCTATATTTAAATAATCTCACGTTTACGTTCTTAATAGTAAAAATTATATTACAAATGCCAATTTGCACAAACATCAATAAAATTATTAACGTTAAAAGTATTTTAGTGCTAGTAATTCATAAATTCGTATTAATGTAAGTACTTATTAGTGCAAGTGGGATATTGTAATATAAAATATAAATCTAATGATAGATGTCCATGACCAATGTAATACTGTACTAATTGTACTTAATTAGGATAGATCAACATTATTGCTTTGAGTTGGCAAGGATCTATCCTTGATGTTTCAAAAAAAAAAAAACAAAATGAAAGCGTAATATCTAATAGTAAAGCATCTAATGAGCAAATAACTGAGAAAATGTGTCAACTCTAATGGAAGAACTAGAACTCCAAACGCTTCGATTCACAGATCTCTATTTATCGAACCTTGTAAGTTACGTTAACTTTTTATTTTTAACCGTCTTAAGAATATCTATTTCATAATATATGTTTTTTTTTTTTATAATAGCTTCATTTGTAATGGTAAAATAAATGCCTGCAAAAGCAAGATTCGGTGAACAATCCACGAACAGGATAAACCCAAATTATAAATATAAAAAATAATAATAAAATAAAAATTTTATACATTAATTGTTGATGTTGAGGAATTGTGTTAGCTACTTATGTACTAAATTGATTTCACTAACTAGTGCATGTTTTATAATAATTGTTTTACAATTATATAATATAAATAAAAAATAATGTACTTCGAAACCGAATATCAATAATAAAATAATTGTAAAGGAGTTACATTTTTTTTTCATTGCCGATCTAATCGCAATAAAACCTTTGATCCAGCTTATTAAATTAAATTGTTTAAAATTTGTTATATCGGCAAATATTACATTTTTTAATATTGTGTATACATATTTTACATTAATTATTCTAATTTTACCAGTCTAACTGGCACTGTTTATACTAAGTAGGATATAAATGCTAAGTGTAAAATAAAGTTATAAGTATACACACATCACGTTTTAGACAAAGTACATAATTACAGTTTCGTGCTCAAATTTTCTATTCGAGTAATCATTATGATTAATCTAAGAATGACACTAACGATTACTCTACCTTTGAGGATGTTTAACTACGTACTTTGTTTTAGTAACACAACATGCGCGCTCTATTAAAGAAATCAAGAGCTATCAATCTTTTAAAAATTACTGTAGACGTCAAATAAAAGGGACAAAATCTTATAGTTATAATCTGCTATCCATTATAAGGAGAAATCATTAAAATTACGAAAACTAATACCAGTATACTTAAAATAAAAGTATGCTATATATTTAGAAGGTGACTACGTTTTTGTAATATTTTATCTTTTATATTTTTAGATTTTTTTTATGAAAATAGAGGCAAACAAGCATCCAACACATGGCTACACTAGCAACATCAGAGGAATTGCCAATTCCTGTCAGCCTTTAAATGTAAATGTAAGTTTTGAGACCACCAAATTAATAAATAAGTCTAATATCATTCAAGTTCATAATAAACATTGGCCAACAATATGATAAATACATTTATTAACTAGTTCCTGCTCTTACTATTTTTCTTTGGAAGTACATTAGTTTTTATGTATAGGTAAAGGATGAGCCTCCGAATTGATGACATACTTATTCAAATCTATGACAAATCTATCATCACTGAACAGCAAATATAAATACTTGAGGGTTTCCGATAAGAAGAATGACTCCATCATGTCACGCTGCAATGGCTTTTCAGATTTCACATTGGCTAATGAAGTGTATCCATTTGGCACTTTGGCGTACTTCTCTAAACTCTGAAATTTTATAAAGTTATAATTTTTATACCTTATTTATTGAAAGGGACAAAGTTAGCAAGATCGATTGTAGAATCGATAGCCACAATATGAAAGAGATATGAAATGAATAAGAAAAAGATATGAACAGAATTCATTGAGATATTTGTCTATAAAGTTACTGATAATTGCTACAGGTAGGCATCTACCATATATCATTGAAAACCCCATCTATCTGTACCAGTAGAGAAACCCTCCAGATATATAGAAAATAGACATTGCCTCAAATGTCTACAATACAATCTCACTGATGGAGTAATGTGAACACAATAATTTTATTTTTTGAGGAAACTGCTCGCTATGGTTTCGTCATACATGTAGAACGATGGAATAAATCGAGGTAAAGTAGCAAGATAATTAGTAGAAATAAAATCGTAAAAAATGTCTTAATTTTTTATGTTTAGCCTTTAATTACTAAAAGTCGTGCTTGACTTGTATATTTTTCTTCTCTTACATATGTAGATATTTTGTTCCAATAGCCATTTTTTGCGACATTTAGGGCATTAATGTAAAAAATCGTAGTAATGTTTTATGTTTGTTATTAAATCATGCTTAAACGACTGAAAGGATTTGAATGAAATTTAGTGTAAGGGTTGGTTATATTGTAGTTTAACATATATAATAATTTAAATACTAATACACGCGGGCAAAGTCGCGGGAAATAGCTTGTAGATAATAACGAATACTAACTTGGAAGATCTGCCACCCCCAGTCCTGGTAGGTAGTGTTGCCAGTAATCTGGTACATATACCACAGGCTCTCGACAAACTCCGGCCGTAACAGATTGTGTGCGTCCGCTGTTTTTGTATACATATCGTTTGTTGCACTAGCCTGGAATATATCAAGAGAAAAAAATAACACAACACTAAAAAGCCACTAAAAATTTTAATAGTTAACATTTATTTCAAATATACAGATAATGTTTACTGTGTCCTCCAAAAGATTGCAGGCATCGTTTATAAATAAGAAAAGTAAAATAAATCTGAATATAGTTTTAAAAACATTAAAAGATATGTAGTTCTATGATATTTGTACCTAAGGTTAGCAACATTGTAAATATAACATCATTCTTCTTTCTGTAATGGTGTTCTACATTAATGTGTATTTTTATTACATAAGTATTTTATTTTTTTAATTACAAGGTAAGTTATTTAAGCGTGCAAAACACATTCAATATTTTACAGCATTCTCCATGTGTGATCCATTCATTATTTTCCAACATGCATATCATGAAAAACTTCGAATTGATATTGGAGTAATTAGAGTGAAAAAATATATAACGAAAAGTTATATCCAATTAAATCAATACTTATTGTATTCACTATAGTGCGATTCTGATACTTAATTATTAAGAAATTGAGTCGTAAATAGTATACATACCAGGTTGAAGTGTGTGATCTCCGGCGCCAAAAATGTGGGATGTACTGCATAGGTAAGGTAACAAGTGTAGAGCAATTCCTCCGCCATGGTCATGTGCCAATCAGGGAGATCGTTAGCGTGTCCAAGTGCTAACGTGCCCGGCAGGAAGCACGTTAGGTGGTCCATCTTTGGGTTGAACGACTGAAAATAATTAGGACTACTATAAATCTGAGTGGGTCAATTACTGTAAGATCTTAGGAGGATCATAAAGACCGTTGATGTAGCTTTTCGGAAACGAAACGAAACGAATTCAAGTACTTTTAGAAGTACAAAGCGAGTGATTCTTTAAATGATCTAAATGTGTATTTGAAAAGTTTAGGTTCGAATTCGTTCACGAACGACATTGAAGCCTTCAAGAAAAGAGCATAGTTCTTCTTAAAAAGCCACTGACACCTGCAATTTCCCTTATGTTGCGGGATCCTATGAGCAGCGGTTATTACTTACCATTAGGTGAGCCACATTTCGTATGCTCTCTATGTTATAAAACAAAATAAGTTTTTCGAAGCAGCCAAAAGCAGCCACCCTATTCTGTGATTGAGAAATTCGAAACAAACGACTAAAAAGTAGAAATCCATTACCGATTACTGTTGGTGTTGTGGTAAATGGTTCTCATTATTTTACTGCTAATAACGATTGTGGATGGCTATAATATTAGAAGAAGGCCTAAAAAGACGTGGATGTTGACTGGTAGCGAATGCCTATAGCATTAAATCCGCCTTTAGTACCATTTTTATTAATCAATATCAACCAGAATAGGAGCGAATGAGGAAATGAGTGCGAATAGAGAAGAACGGAAGAGAAAAACATATTATGTAGACTAAAAATAATAATTGGGATAAGGGTAGGTAGATGATGATGATGATGATAAATAACAATATATGACGAATGAATAATAAAATAGCTAACTCACCTCAGAACCAGCTGAAAGCTCCCCGATAAATAAATGTTTATTTGGAGAAGAGCGCTTAGCTAGAAACTCTCTGACCCCCTCGATAGCAGTCATGTAGTCATCCAGCAAACTGTAAATAAAAATATATAAATGAACTTACTGAAATTTCATAAATATATTAGTTCACTGCAATATGAATGTGTATACATTATAAATAAGTCACAATATTATCACAGTATGTAGGTTCTTGCTATTTTAATATTTTAATGTAAAAAATGTTATTAAATACCCTGGATAGAGGTTGTAAATTAAAAAGAGAGATCAATTATCTCTAGTGAATAATCAGGCGTTAACTGTCCACTGCTGAACTTAGGCCTTCCCCATAAGAGGGGGTTTTGCCAGTACTTGTCACGCTTGGCAGGCAGGTTGGCAACTGTAGTTAAGCTTTAGTGATGTTTTAAGAGGGACACTGCTGCCCATCCCTCACTAAATTCCCTTAGTCGCATATTAAAATATATACCAGAGAGAAACTATACAAAAGCAGTTGGTATGGATACCTTTGTCCTAACTACAAGCATAACTATGCTTCCATGATTGTGTTTCAGTTTGGAGGATGGGATATGGTAGTGTAATTATAGAGTGCAGAGATAAAACAACATTGTTCTTAAACTATAACGTATCAGGAGTACTATGGGCATCACAATGCATTGTGTTATGTTCATGGGGCTCTCTTTTCATCAGATGAGCCACCAGCTTGTTTGCCATTCTAAGTATCATAAAAAATGTGGGATTTATTTTCTTTTTTTAAATCGAGGAATGAAAAATTTAATCTTATCATTAAGATAAATTATTATAATGATAATAAAATTTAATTATTTTGTGTAAACATATAACATGTACTAAATTAAGTAAATCCACACATAGCATGCATTCGCATAGAATTAATCTAATTCGCTAGTAGCTTTTTATAATAAATAATAAAAAAAAAAAACTTTTGCATATAACAAATAAAAAATAGCAAAGACGCAAAATTACATCACACATTGTTATCAGCAATACATGGTTTTAAACATCGCACAGCACAGATAAATTAAATATAACAATAACCTTAATAAACCTAAATAACATCATCTAATTATAAATAAAATGTCTGTATGTTTATTTTTTCGATATGAGTCATTTAAACATAACCAAAATAAAAATACTATTTCTCAACTTTTAATCGATAAACACAAAAATCGCTTTAAGACGGTGCGCATGCGCATTGCCGTGATTGAAGAATACACAATTACAACAACTATACCACAGATAATAAACTATACTAGTAATTATGCTTACTAATTGATCGTTTTTCCTGTCTGTATCCACTGCTTGAGCAAATATTCGTAGTAGCTGTCTCCTCGAGCACCAAGCGTGATGGTTGCATGCGGCAGAAAGTGACCGGTATTGGGATTAATGAATATTGGGACTAGGCCGTGTTTTTTCGGCAACTGGTGTATTTTCTCTGAAACGGCCGCGGCTGCATCCTGTAATTAAATTTATTGTTATTAAATTTAACATTGGACTTTTAATTTTGACGAAAATAAAAATATTTGGCAACGATAATATTAAGTAATAGTAAAATTATCAATGGTACATTTATACGTCTATTACTCTATGACATATGTATTGATCATTTTAAAATATTTGTCACATTTCTAACTAGATATCCGACCCGGCTTCGCATGAGTAGACAGAATGTTTAAAAAAATTTAATTGATACTTTATGTTCGGTCCAGATTAAATATTTTCTTATATGTCTAACTATAATGTAACTAATCTACTAATGTCAGGTTAACTTTGACTTTCTTGAAGAAAGCTACTAAGAATTTTTTATTTAAAAAAATAAACACATAATAGTGCATGTGGACAGTTGCATAAATCTTGTTTCAATTACCTCGTAAACGGGATCATTGCTGGCTCTAGACAGTTCTCTGAACTCAAGTTGCACTGTGGTGACTTCAGCAGTAGTGCTGTAGTGTGACCACTCAGGAGCATGGGCAGTTTTGGTTCCAAGATTGACATCAGAGTAAGGTATACCAGATGGAGATGAGAATGCTGCCATCAGACGATCACCTAGATCTTTCTGCAGACATCGTATTAATTGCCTTGCATTAATTTCTAAATTTATCTGATTACCCAGGCTGATATCGAAATCATCAGTATTCTATTAAAAGAAATTTCGAGATCCTTTTACGAACTCATTCAATTAATTAACTCATCATGTGTTTTTAGGAAACTTTGTAATTTCTCAATTATATTTCTTTGGGAAAAAACATTTAATTCTAGTGAGAAAATACTTCTTTATAAGGATACTAATGACTTCGAGTTTATACTGTATTAAATATTAATTATTAGTATTAGTTATAAAAAAGTATTCTTGAAGTAAGTTCATTCTTTGCTTTAAGAGCCTTGATGGAAACTGAAAAAATAACTTTCATATATATATAATATACCCATAAAATCTATCTCTTCAATTTTTTTTGTATTATTATAAATGGTTCAATGGTGAAGGCATTTTCCCAGATTTTAGAGTTTATCATTATATATTTTGATAATTGATGATAAATGATGAATAAACTTGAAGTTAAACTATATTATTAATATAATTACTTACAGCTTTATTGAGAAACATTTCATCTTGTGTGAAGTGATAGTTGGTTAACAAACCACCCAGCACTCTAATTGTTACCTCGAAGAAGTTCACATCTTTATTCTTTGTAAATACCAGTTCATTCTTAACCCATTGCCTGCCCTCTTCAAATTCTGTAAAATGTTTTTATATGAAAGAAACAAATATTTGTGATAAAACATAAGTTCCTTAACATGTTTATTATAAATACATATTTATAATAAATTGCAAGTACTTAAACATTTACTTGAAAAATAAATTTCTCCTATGAGTGTTAGCGAGTTACTTCGAATTTATTGAACTTTCATTTAATCTTAATAAATAAAAATAATTTTAATAATATGAGAAAATTATACTGTATTGAAACTAAGTCGTTAAAACATTACTCCTCAGATATGACACTGGAATAGTGTTCTTAATTTAATACACTGAAATAAATATACAAAAAAATATATATATACTTTAGAAACAATCATAACCTTCAGTTAAACCCATAATGTATGCTGTATCCAGTCCATCCACAATGGAGAGGCCAAGTGAGAACCAATCAAAAGCCATCCCAGATAGTGGTTTCAAGTTATCGTGACCCCACGCATGTTCCTTGTACGCCTTCCATGCATGTTTAAAGCTTTCAACAACAGCATACTGACGAGCATTAGACGGCCCTAAAAATAATAAATACATTGTTTTATAAATTTTCATTAAAAAATATCTAAATGATAGTGACAAGAATATCAGAATCCATAACATGATTTAGAAGTAAGCGTATAAACAGACGCGGATAATGACTTTGTGTTATAATATTTAGAGGTAACTTTTTAAAAATAAATACCTGTAAATACAGGTCTCTCATTCACTTCGCTCTCCACCACAGTCTTCTTAGGTTGAACGACGTTCTCTACTGGTTCATTGACTAGGGATACGTTTTTTAAAGGTTCCTAAAATTAAAATAAATTGTTATACTATTATCTACTTATTAACATATTCCCACATGTGGATGCACAGATTGTTTATTTATTACTATTTAAGTATGTAATGTATCTATAAAATAAATCTCTGTTAGTTACAAATCTCAAACTTACTGAGTGATTTATTCGCATTCATATTTGTTTATTACATTACGGGACACCTGAATAAAAGAATTGTCGCATAGTCGCAACAAAATACTTCGAACAAGCACTTCACGTTATCGAATGCATATGCTTGCGGTTTATCTTTTCTAATTGTGCATACTAAAGCTATTTGTTATTGTTTTATTCTCTTCAAAATAAGTTAATTTATAGTATTAAGTTTATTTGAAACTTCATACTATAAATATATAAATAATAATGTAAGTAGGAAATCAAACTGCTGTTGTTAATAAACGGTAATACATTAGGCAGGTCAAAATCCTTCTAAGTAATTCTTTATCAGTCAACAGTAATGACCGGTTCAGTTTCGACTAATAGGTATGTTGTAATAAAAAAAAAATATTTGTTATAAAACCAGCTTTACATTTTATTTACATGCATCAAATATGAAACTAGTTGTACTAGTTTTTTGAAAATTTTATTTTATATCACACTATGCTCCATGAGATCAGTTCTTAACGATAATTCTTTTTAATGAACTTTCTTTTTAGTTAATCTTACTAATATTGTACATGTGAAAGTGTGTAAAGATACTTGGCTCTTTAGATGTTTGTATGTTTGTTACTCAATCACTTAAACACCAGAATGGATTTGAATGCAATTTGATACTTGGGTACTAACTTAAAATATACTTTATATATTGATTAAAGTAAGCAAAGCTGCGAGAAACACTTTAAGTTCACAACAACAGTAGTTTAAGTAACTACAGGTCTTAGTTCAGTGACAAACGAAACTATCCATTATAGCTACATTATTGCTATCATGGATGTTATATGAGACAAGGATATTTGGCGTCTTGTTCTTTTCTTACATGCTCTACAAAAATATATCTATCGATCTAGTTTAATTTACCAATTATCTATATAGATTGATCACATAAAATCGAGCTATTTATCTAAATTGATATTACCGAGAATAGAATTCATAACATGATTTACGCAAAATAACGTGTCTACTACCAAACCATTAAGTTTTGCGTCACTACTTTATACTCGGTTAGTATAAAAATAAGACCGATAAAATATATAAAACTACTTACCACAACAATATTACTATCACTATTTTTATTTACATTCGCCGCATTCAGCTTTGAAGAATAAAACAATACTAAAACAGTTGCTGTTATTAAGAATAATGCGTAAACTAAAGATCTTTGCAATCGGGACAGTCGGTTCCATCTCTGAAAAAAATAAAGAGCAGCATAGTATGTTAATAATTATTAAATAAAAGTAATATTCTTTTAATAATTAAAATAATATTTGTAGGGCCTGAAAACAAAAACTTAATTCTACAAAATTTCGTTTCATGGCTGCGTGTTATATATTTAAATTAACAAAAAGATTGAATTTTAAATGTTAATAATATTCTGTTGATGGTTAAAATGTAATCAAATATAATAATATATGTATAAAATAATGTATTCTCTTGAACAAACAGTCATGATAAATCTGGTGACACTAAAATAATTGAGTTGCTTTAAATACAAATAATTATATATAACGCACATATACACAGAACTTTTTTGTACTAGAGTAAAGAAAATAGATAATAGATTATACCAAAATCATTTCTTTTCCACATATGCAGTACTCGTCCTGAAGGCGCGAGATTTGAAATGGAATCTGCATTTGCAAAGCAGACATTGGAAATCGACGGCACTACAATTACACTGGCTAAACTTATCACTCTAATTATAGTTTTTTTTTTTTTGATCACAAAATAACAAACATTTCATTTAGAACACTACAAAAATATTAAATTGTAATAAACATGAAATTATATTTATTTGTTGTGCGAAACATTTAATTGAGGTCGTATTGCGTCACTGTCAGATGCCGGAATGTTTTTATATTTACGGATCACCTAGTTACGAATAAAGATGTGAAACTGTTTCATATGTAACCGTCTCAGTGTGAATGCATTATTTGCAGAGTCACAAAGCAGATCTCATTGTGTCGTTATTTTTAAGAGAGCTGCATTAAATACAATGTAATACCCTTACACGCCCATACGTGTATGATTCATTAGGTAATATGGTATGTTTAAAGCTGTTTATGTATGGTATTATTCTAGCTCTATTTTTGTACTACAAATGAAAATTGTTTGAATTTTTTATTGTTATTATTTTGTTTTTATTACTTTATAAGAGTATAATTCTAAATAATAGGTAGTCAAAATAATTCACTAGAGGGAGACTTTGTACAAAAGTCGATTGCTTGGGTACCTCTGTCCCATTCGTGTTTCTACCGTGAAGTAGTTGTGTTTGCATGGCTGTGTTTCGGTTTGAAGAGTGGGATATGGCGTGAATTTACAGGGTACAGAGGAATAACATCTGAGTCCTCAGGAATGGCAACGCAAGGGGGGTATCATGGGCGAAACAGTATACTCTATTATGTCCATGGTACTGCTTATGTCTATAGGTGACGGTTACCACTTTCCAGCAGGTGGGCCGTCAGCTTGTTTGCCATTCTAAGTTGTATAAAAAAAATCTTTTTTGGGATACTTAGAATAGCCCACCTGATGAAATGTAATAACCATCATCTATAAACATGAACAGCAGTGCATTTAATGTTCATGAATTATAGAATACAATGTGATGCCCATGGTATCCCTCATGGCTTCCAATTCCTGAGGACCATGGTGTTACGACTTTGTACCCTGTAATTTCAGTGTCACGTTAGTACTAAGGTCTAACGGCTCCTTTGCTAGCAATACATCCTATCATGTCTACCTCCATGCGGTTCCCCTAGAAACCATCGTGGTTAAATCTAGTGGATTACGTCACGATTTCGACCTGCTTGCATTGTCACCTATAATCCCTCGCTGGTGAACCCCCCCCCCCCCCAGCTTATACTAATAGTGCAGGCGAGATTACTATTTCATTATCACCTAATAAAGATCAATCCGATGGTTGAATGATATAGAGCGGATAGCGAAAAAAAGTGGACAAAGTTAGCACAGGACCGTTACAAGTGGCGCGAGGACTATTTAGCCAAGTGAATTAATGTAAACTGATTAGATAGAGAGATCCGACCCTTAACACCGAAACACAGCCATATAAACACAGATGTTTTAAGAAATACGAGTGGGACAAAGGTACCCATGCAAACGACTTTTATACAAAGTCTCTTTCTAAAACACAGAGAGATTTCATCCCCTACAAAATCATATTTATAAATGTGATTTCGTGAGCTGGACAAATTTTTATGAAATTTGGTACACAACTATACCATATACTATATAAATGTTTTTATAATAAATAATTTTTTCATTGTGTTAAAAATATTAACAAAACTAGAAGCTATTTCTTATAATAGATGAATTCTGGAAGTAGATGAAACAAGAAGTATATTTTTAAAGTGATATGATATGTTAGTTGGATTATATATACTTGGATTATATCTCTATATGATTTTGATCATTAAGGCTTCTAATTATTCCTTTTAAAATAAGTTACTTTATAATTCAACTCCATATCGAAAAAGACAGAATAGGTACGTGTAATAGAACGGATGAAAAGAAGACGATGATTCAGCTGTCCTAATGATAAGAAAATGCATTCATGCGTTTTTTGTTTAGATTATAAAAACGTTAGGTACAGCTTGTTTCTCTGAATAGCTACCTACAAAGTAACATACTATTAGCAATTTTTTTTAAAATATAATCATCTTAATCGTCGGCGTAATATGTTTTTCGCTTCTTTATTTCTCTATTTTTTTTTAATGAACTACTATTGAAACCATTTAAATTGTACTTATGAAATATATATAAAATATTAAAAAAAATAATGAAATTCATCCACATGGTTTTTTAAGCAACAGTGAATGGCAAATTATAAAACAAACATTATTTTTTATTTTATTTTAAAATATGTCATTTATCTTTATTTTTAGGTATCTAGAGATTATCCCTAAACAACTATATATTTGTAGGTGTATAACTAAATATCTTTGTAAATGCTTAAATTATAAGGATAAAAAATATATTATATTACACAAATTTATACAAATTTTTATATATTCATCCGATTTTATTCCAAAACTAGTCAATAACTAAATCTTTTTTAAAATTTGATTGTAATCCAAACTGGTCAATGACATTCAAACATCATTTTGTGTCTCAAATCTCATATTAAATATATGATAGCATAATTATACATTTTTCCTGTGGATGTTATAATGTTTGTGTGACATATTATGTAAAGCATTCAAAATAAAAAAAAAATATGCTCACAACTGAAATCCAAAAGTGAAACAACAACAAAGGCTGCCTACTGTTGCTACTATTGTGAAGATAACATTCAAGATGTTTTAAACCAATGTAATTAAATTTGTTATTATTATTATTATATAAGCCATTGACTGTCCACTGCTGAACATAGACCATACAAGGGGATCTTGCCAATAATCACCACATTTGGCAGGCAGGTTGGCGACCACAATTAGGCTTTTGATGTTTTAAGCAGGGCTTTGCTATCCCTCCTTTAACCATTAAATTCCCTTAGTCTTAGTCACCTATTACAACACTCACGGGGAAAGGAAAGGGGTGGTCTATACTATACTGGGACCACACAGCAAGGTTTGTTAATGATGTTTAATATCAGTGGAGAATTATTCACTTAAATTTAAGACTTCAATGTCGACCGGACTAGGCATATGATGGTAATACACCATAAGAAACAACAGTAATGCATCAATGTAATTAGAGTATATAACTTACCCTTATAATTTTCCTATGTGATAATAATATTGTTTGTTGTTGATCTGTGACCAAATGCGAAGAATCTATCTTGGAATTCCATTTTCGGGTACTGGTATGAGTAGCTGGTTGTTGTTGTCCATTGAAATCAATTTGAGTATCAAACACTGGCTTTTTCATATTGAAAATTTTTACTTATCTCCTCACACAAGAATATACCAGCTTCATTCCAAACATCTGGAATGGAATATATTTTAGTAAAATTCTAATTATAATAAAAATATAGTTACTTTTTGTACTTTGCAAACTAATTTATGGCCCCTATGAAAAGAGAGCATAATAATATACTGTGTACATGTTGCTATCCCTGAAAACTAAAGTATTATGCTTTCACATAAAGACAAAATACCTTAGTCTTCAGGAAGGAAGGCAATTATTTATATTATTATATTTTATAGTTAGTGTGTCATCATTTGTTCCAATGATTGCTGTATGAATAGATATGTAAGAATATCCATTGTTGAGAATAGAGCTTTTACTTGTAATAAGAAATAGAAAAGGAGATAATACTACTGCAGGTAGATAACTACTATACTTATATTTTGAACAAAAAATATAATTAAATTATATGATATTTTGAAATAAAATAAATTTATTAATTTATTTAGAGTTAAAATTTTTAGTTGTTAGTGTTAAAGCTATCCAACATAACCCAGAGGGAGACTTTGTACAAAAGTCGTTTGCTTGAACACCTCTATCCCATTTGTGTTTTTACAATGCAGCAGTTGTATTTGCATAACTGTGTTTTAAGTTTAAATGGTGAGATATGGCAGTGAATTTACAGGGTACAGAGGAATAACACCTGAGTCCTCAGGATAATGCATGCTCATATCTATAGGTGACTGTTACCACTTTTCTACAGGTGGGACTTCTGCTTATTTGTCATTCTAAGTTGCATAAAAAAAATTGTGATTGTTTATATAATAATACAAAGGTGATCGCAATTGTTTCAAAAATATTTGTTCATATTTATTAATAATAATTAATATATTAACATCCTTCTTTAAATATGAACCATAAAACACTTTATATTTGTGAAATAGAAATACTTTATTTGATAAATACAATGTTTTAAAGATATTTTTTTTGTGTGCACATTATTTTTGCTTATATTTTGGACTATGAAATTAATTTTATTACTCAAATTTGATTTGATCAAAGATTAGTTTCAGGTGTAGAACACTGTGGTTGATAATAAATTTATAATTGGTTTTAATAATTTTTAACAAGCTTTATAGAGAATTGGCGATAAATTTATAAACAGTAGAAATACTATTTATTTGTAAAATTTTAAATAGCATAAATGTATGAAATAGACAAAAGCGAAATAACTTCACAAAAAAAAATATACACACTCACCGTTAACCCGAGGAAGAAATATCAATCTGTGAGTATTTTCCAGTTCAAATGTGAATTATTTTAGCGAGAGGACTAGTTCCACGTCCTCATTAAACTATTTTTTGGTAAACTGTGAAAAACAAAAAGTATCTTAACTTATTAACTTTTTTCTTCAAATCTTACCGAATCTATCTGTACTGTCTAATTAATTTTCTTAACACTTAAAATTTATTACAATTGTTTAAAATCACCTAGATATTTTTAATTATTTCTAGTAAAAATGACTGCATTACAGAGTACTACTGATTTAAACTATGAACTATGAAATGTCAATGTCAGTACTGTCAAAGCCACAGAGTAAGTAATCTAAAGTAAAAATATCATTTAAAAGTCAGCACTAACTTTTTTTACACACTGGAAAATTGATATATATATATAGTCTAGAAGTATCAACATAATAAAAAAAAAAGAATATCCAAAGTGTTTTAGAACTATTTATTGAAAATTGTTGAATACTCTTTTTTCTTTCGTTTTACAGATGTCACAAAATGTTATTTAATACACAATGGTACGGAAATAATTGTTTTCATTGTCTGGTATCATAAAACTATAGGTTATGGGTTATTTGCTTCTATAACTTGTTACAAAATTTCTACTATTATAAGTTTGAAAATAATATATCGGTTGAAATTTTTTAAAAGATCAAAAGTTTGATACATAGACTGAAACAATTAAAACCCCCTTTTAATAACCTCTTAGTAGAATCCAAAATATTAAAAAAATTATCCATTATTGACTTTTATCAACCGTTTGTATCGGAAACTTATAAGGAAGAAAGAACCTAAGATTAAACCTAAGATTAAGATTAGTAAAAGATCTTGGTATAGGAAACAAAGGTAAAATGCTGAAATATTTAGATAATAATAGTCAGGTAACAAGCTCATTTCCTCTATCTGTTTTAAATGTAATAAGTCTGGTGATAAAATTAAATTTTAAAAAAGAAACTACAAAGAGAAAGTTTGCTTAATACACGTTAAGTAAGGTGATTTTTAACCTCTATCCATAATACAATCAACAAGGAAATTTTATTCTTGAGTTTAATCATGCTGTATATAAGTCAATTACAAAACTTCACTCTCTAATATCAAACCTTAGACTATTGATGTTCATGTTGGTAAATAAAATGGCCATATGAAGTAACAATATGTAGGTAAAACTATGAACTAGATTTAGCAAAAAACTTGAAATAATACATATAGACTTTTGTGGCCCTTTTGAAGTGGAACTATGGGATGGTAAAAGATATTTTTTAACTGTTTTGGGTGACTTAGTTAAAGAATTGCGGAAAGTTAATGAGAATATAACTTGAAAGTTGTGATAATTCATTATAACAATAGTGGCGAGTGTGTCTCATATAACTTTAAAAAATACTCTAATGAAAACAAATAAAATTAGATTGCTCATATCATTTAAGTGGAGTAAGTACGATATACTTTTCCCAATTATATGATAAAGCCGATCGTTTGAATAGAACTGCAAACGAAAAATCTCTTTACAACTATATATAGCTGAAATAGAAAAAAAAAAGTTCTTTATTGTATCATATTCAACAAACTACCAAGTAAGTATATATATAATAAAACTCTTGGAATTGTAAAATTGAAGTATGGAATTGAAAGCTACTGGTAAATTTCGGTGTGATGCCACTGCTTAAAAACTGCATCATCGTCATTTTGGTACATCATGAATTGTATCAAAATAACGGATTTCTTATTGATAATTTTCCAAATCGCAAAAGTACTTATGAAAATATTGAATAAAATAAAATGTTATAAATTATAAATGATCATTGATTTTTTTATACAACTTAGAATGGCAAACAAGCTAACGGCCACCTGATGGAAAGTGGTAACCGTCGCTATAGAAATGAGCAGTACCATGGACATAACAGAGTATACTGTTTCGCCCATGATACCCCCCATGATGCGTTGCCATTCCTGAGGACTCAGATGTTATTCCTCTGTACCCTGTAAATTCACGCCATATCCCACCCTTCAAACCGAAACACAGCCATGCAAACACAACTACATTCTGGCTTTAAAAGCATTAACAACCTTTGTAGATTTAACAGCACGCGACCGCCCCGATCTTTTCTGTTCTTTGACAGAGAAAGTGTTGATAGTACGATATACGAACATACGGCCGATACCAAGAATCTTTCAATTTTGAATTGTCTGAAGACTTCGTATCCACTTTGTGCAAGGCGATCACTGTAATCCTATTTTCTTTAACACCCCATTCCATATTGTAATTTGATAATGAACACGAAAAAATATGTGAAATGGCGAGAAATCGAAAGAATATATATGATTAAATTATGATAGGTGGTGTATGCTGACGTCTTTAACAGATGATAGGTGTGGAAAATTAAATAAATTTGCTTGTTTTCGTGACTTTATTTAATAATATATTATAATTTACAATTTTAGACAAAAAAGAAACCATTACTTCAATCTGTTACAACTAACAAGATACTCCGTTGATACATGTAAAATTATTTAAAAAAGTAAATATGCTGACACTTTCTTGTAATACCTCCGGTATTTCTATTCATCGCCGCATGTCGTATGTGGCAATATGTGCTAAATAAATACTAAGCTACTTTATAGATATTTTTACCGTTTTATAACATAGATTCATAGAAAAATATTATTCCAGTAATAGTGTATCAACTGTGGCATGCCTTAGCCTAAAATTTTCAAGACAATTCATTTTTTGCATAGATTTTTTTTTTTCATTTAATGTGACTTTGGTTTGCATAGATTTCAAGAATATGTTTTCTTTTTATTTAAAATAACACAGGTTTGTGTCAATTGTTTCTCTTACTTTACTGGCCTGGAAATAGTTTGTTTCCTAGCCAAAATTGTGTAGGTACTTAGATACAGAAACATTATCTTTTAGTTTTTTGTCCATTACAAAAATATTGAATATAGATAATATACATAAAATATATTATAACATCATTTATATTATTTTTCACGATTGTGGTATACTCAAAATAAGTTAAATAGTCTTTGACAAACAACATCTTTTGAGATTAAGTAACAAAATGTAAACTAATTCATAACAGACATTTTAGTTCCTAAACCTCTCTGAGGAGGCAGCACTAACGGTCGTGCGATAAGTATCGTGCAATTAAGCGTGCAAATTATAGATAAATAAAATTTAGATAGAATTAGAGTCGTTATTACTGACTACGCCGTGTATTATGATTATATCTGGTTTACGTTACTTGATTTCCATTTTCCAAAAATTTGAAAAAAATTTTAGAATAAGGGCATATACAAGACAAAATACATCTACTAATGTAAGCAATAAAAACAATATTTTATAGATATATCACATTAAGATTGAAGCCTCGCTTGTACTACTGGTTTATATTAGGTTTATGTTGAAAATCTTAGGTGATGACGAATTAATGAATCCGTCGTGATGAATTCAGCATTAATTTACCATGATTGTTTTCAGAATTAGGGGGATGGAAGTCAAAATTATATTGTGTTCCTAACAAACAATCAATCTTAATTTCTTTTCAGAGAATTTTTCTTAATTTATTTTTTAAATGCTTTTTTACATTTAGTCCATTTTGCTAGTCCTCGTAATTAATAACTCTCTCTTCTAAGGTGCTGAGTTGCAATTAGAATTGAAATATAGACCATGAACTGTGCCATGTATTATACCAAATTTAAGTAGCAGGTATATAGGCACTGGGCGATAGTAGTTGCAAAAACGTATAAGCTATCTACCTGATAAATAATACATCAATCATACAATAATCAATCAATCATCACATACAATCTACTGTTTTAATTTAGTAATAAGTACTTACAGAATATTAATATCACTTCTAAGGTAAATTTGAATAAATTTCTTTCACTCTATTGTTTTTAAGCAGAGTTTATGAAAAGTAAGTCCGAATTTCAAATCAACTAATTTTGATATTGGCAAAAAAGATAGCTATTAAATTATATAATAACTATCTACATATAATAGTGACAATGTCAAGTGTTTCAATGGAACTGTAAATCTGTAAACATTTTATTATTTTTCGTATTTAAATTTTTCTTATTTCTTAATAATAATATTATTGTTAGACGGACTTTTAAACAAATCATTGTATTTCATAATAAGTTATAATTTTCTAAATTTATATTAAGTGATAAAATATATAAATTTTTGATGCCTCAATCTGATTTTTGGCCATTCATAAGATCTAAGGCCGAAGAAAATGTTAACGCGGAGTCATCGTTATTAGTATGTAGAGCTATAACTAATTAGTGATTTGAGGTCAATAATAAGTAGATAAGTATAAGATTTACCAGAGGGAGACTTAGAAAATTTATCTGCTTGGTTATTTCTGACCACTCATGTAAAGAGCTGTAATTGCACTGTTCTGATTCCGTTTAAAGGTTGGGTTACCTAATATAGTGAAATTATAAGGTATAGAGCCATAACATTGCTCTCAGTAATAATGTTTTCAGTAATATTAAGATATAAAAGATAGACATGATGATGTATTCTGTGATGTCCATGATGCTGTCCATGTACTCGTATATAGGCGACGATTACCATTTGGGAGATGGATCATTCGTTTGCTGTTTAGATATAAAAATTGAATAAATATCCCACTAGCCGCTTGATTTTTAAACGTTGTATTATAAGAAAAGACTCCACAAATATCTAAAGATATAACCTAAAATACCCATGGAACTCAAGTCAGAAAGATATAACTGACGAAAAATCAACACCGGAACACATTTACGCAAAGCAATCTACATGGCTCCTATAATATATCTGTTACCTATTTGTTTATTTTATGAACTTTTCCACCAACTTCAAAGAAGGAGATGATTCTTAATTCGGTTGTATTTTTTTGTTCCGTATTTCATAACACCTATCTATCTATCCATTTAAGAGATGCGCTCATAACATAACACCATCATATATAAAACGATATGGTAAAATATTTATTGTATTTTTTTTTTATTTAAAAAGATCTTTCAGATTCTATAGAAATTTCGTCAATATCAACTCAGTACTTTTTTTTTATGCAACTTAAAGTAGCAAATAAGTTGACGACCCACCTCATAGATAATGGTAACCATCGCCTATAGACATGAACAGCCATGGAGATAACAGAGTAAACTGGGTCGCCCATAATACCTTTCATGCGTTACTTTTCTTGAGGTTTAAGGACTTATACTTCTATATTCTGTAGTTTGTTTTTTTTTTTAATTAAAATAACTCGTTTTGGCACGAACAATGTCGGTTTATGTGGAATAAAATCTTAAGTTATGATAATTAAACATGCTAAGATTATCGTTTTTTCATATATTTGCTTATTTTTTATTGTGACAAATATTATAAGTAATATATATTTTGGTAAAGTATAATATCATATTTTGGTAAAAATTGGTGAATTTTATGGTACACATTCGCCGTATGCTCCCGGCATAGAATAGGCTACCCCTTTCTTTCCCTTAGAGGTCGTGAGAGTCGACTAAGGGAGAGCGAGGGATAAGCAGTACCGTCCCTCTTAAAACATGTCTAAAACCCTAACTGAGGTTACTAACCTGCCTGCCAAGCGTGGCAACTACTGGCAAAACTCCTTTTATGGGGAAGGCTTATGTTCAGCAGCGGACAGTTAAAGGCTGAAATAATAATAATAATTCGTCAATAACTTTATTACTCGTATTATATGAATTTATTACCTAGTATTATATGTGACTGATTATTGAATTTTATATTAAAGCAAAAGCAACTTGGAGATATGGAAGGTGAGGTCAAAGAAATTCAAATGGAATTGGCAGCTATAAAACGGGACAGAACAGATTTACTTAATAAAAAACAGGTCAAAGGATTGGCGGTAAGTACATAATTATATTTAGGTCGGTGTATTGGTGATTAGTACTTTATTTAGTTAGGACCTTTATATTTATTTTCTAAAACATATTTATACGTATAAATATTTTTTTAGTTACCCTAAATATCGGTTCTTATAATGTTTTTTTTTTTACTTTTGCTATTTCATGTATGGGATTTTTTACTAAAGGAATAGAAGGAAAACTTGAAATAAATAATTATACTAAACCATAAGTATTATGGCATTAATATTCTACAAATGAATTATATTGCTGTTTGCATTTACAGAAAGACCCAAATACCGACCTATAGGTCGGTATTATTATTAAAAACTACGTTCATTTATATATCGCAACGGATTTATAGCTAACGAACAAGATACATATGTATTTTTTTGTGTAATAATTATATTGACTTGGTAATTTCACAGTACCATTTCTAATTATAAAAGAATAATACAAAATCTACTATCACTAAATCAATCTGTACTGTGTACTTGAGTATAAAGTATTTTATTAGTAGAATATTTATTATTTTTATTTAATTAGCTTTTATCAATCCACTGCTGAACATAGGCCTTCCCTATAAAGGAAGTTTTGCTAATAGTGGTCATGCTTGGGTTGGCAACCACAGTTAGCCTTTGGTAATATTTAAGAGACACGCTGCTGCTCGTCCCCCGAACTATTTAGTTCCATTAGTTGCCTACTACTATGTCGACGGGAAAGAAATGGGTGGCCCATTCTATCCCGAGACCACACAGCGTATTCGTTGAATATATTGCCATGAAATTTCAGTCATTATTTATTTTTATTTATTTTTTTACACATATACTAAACAAACTTTTCACTAAATATTATTTTTCATTAGATGTACTCTATATCATAAGAAAAAAATATAAATTGTTGTAAATCGTCGAATGTATAAAGTGATTATTAGAAAGGAAAAAAAATATTCAGAGAGAATTGTGTATTTTTATTATAACAATGAAGGATAAGACAAAAGTATTATTGAGCAGTAATTTTAAAATTATGTCAAACTCTACGAACATATATAAAAATATTTCCAGACATTACTAACAAAATTATACCTACATGGTAATATGATAAGACTAGTTGGTAGTCTCAAAATAGCATAAAAATTAAGATTATGCAATCATATAATAACATCATTATTATATAAATTACTATAAAAAAAAAACAAGATGAATGTAATAGTAATAATATTTGGAACAAAAACATTGGTTACAATATTATTGAAAAACGATGATATCCGCAGAAGTATAAAACTAAAAGTAAAAAAAGAGTGTTTGTGCAAAGGACCTAACTCAGCATTATAATTATTATAGAAATAAAGATGTCTAATATTGGTGTGGTCACGACAAATGTTGATAGATAATTACTTAGATAATAACTTGTAACAAAGATTTTGAATAAGTGCCTCCATAGACGCTAAAATAAATGACTTGGTGTTACTGAAATTTCACAATTTTTTGTAGTAGTATAACTCTATTGTGGGATTTGGTATTATTTACATTTTATGTTTTTGATAGCATTTCAGTTTATCGGATGAATGTGTGCTAATAACTGTATACTAGGTCGGTAGTCTTTTAACTCTGTAAAATCTGTTCCAATATATGCCGAATTTTTTATGTATATGCGCCCTTTGATGTATAATTATGTGTAACGACAAATTATAATGTACCAATTTATGCATGAGATCCGATGTAGCTGTGTCGCTACTCCATTAATATTCGCGCCCTTGACATCTTGTTTAAGTGTTGTAGTACATTGAAGACTAGTAAATAATACGTAACTAATGTATGTTAAACTGAATGTTTAGATTTTTTATCGTCTCTATTTTTCTTTTTCGACCTACTTTAAGGCCAATTTTAGCAAGTTTTTTTTTAATTAATGCAGGAAATTTTAATAATGGAGTGGTAACCCCGCCTGTTCTTACAGTATACACTAGCTAGGTACCAGTGAGAGATAAAAGGTGATGATGAAAAGGCAGGTCCGTTAGACCATCGTGCTGAATGCACCTGAAATTCTGTTCGATGGTTACCGGGGGGACCACGTGAAGGTCGATCTGACAGAGTATATTGCTAGGAATGGGACTGATAGTCGCATTATTATCATCATTATTACCATTACAGGTAGAACAGTTCAATTGTAAATCATAATATAGTCAGTGCCCAATAGCCTTTAACGGAGGGTAAAAAGATTGTTATTAATGGCGTTAAAAGATTCATTGCTAAAATAAATTTTATCAGGTCGACCTCCACGTAGTTCTCCCTGAAAATCATCGAGGTTTATTCTTTTAAATTCATTGTTTCATTCCGCTGCCATTAATATATGTGCGACTGCCAACACTCGAAGATTGATTACTATTATTACCAGAAGATCTACAACCTTTTCGCAGTTTGGGTGCCGAATGGTTAAATTGTTTAGCTTCGAGCAACGATCTATTAATTTGTCTGAAGATACCTCATTTAGAGATGAAACATATGTTGCAAAACATGCGTGGATAAAATGGCAGTCGGAAATTGATGGCTCAATGAAAGGTTGTAAAATTTCTGGCAATAATATTAGTAGTCAATCTTCAAGAGTTGGCAGTCGCATCTATACTAATGGTAGCGGAATTAAACAAATGAATTCTAATCAAATAAGCAGTGATTATGGAATTCCACGAAATAACACCTAGTTTAATAACTTTTTTCAATACGTTACTATGGATTAATTGATCTGCCTTTATCCTCACCCATCATTTCTTTTCTGGTGCCCACCATCATATGTCGATAGCACAGGCATAGTTACTATTCCGTCTATTACTATTTCATTATTACATTTACAAAAAAGTAGCTAGTTTTAATAAGGTAACTCTATTTGAATTTACTGTTTATTTCTTTGTAGGGTTTTCAAGATATTACGGGTGAAATTGGAAATATCAACGAAAATAAACTTATTGCAGATAATTGCGATGATTACCCGAGTTTCCCTGATCACGAGGTAGGTACTTATATATCACATGAATTTGATGATGGATTAATTATTGGCAATTATGTTTTCTAAATTAACTACTTTATTCATAAAAACTAAATAGAACGTTTTGGAATGAACTTATTTTAATTATTAGAATGTTTTGTCTCCGTCTTTCATATTAATATTAGTTATAATAATAATAAAATTAATAAGTAATTAATGCATAATAAAAAAGCAAAATATGTTAATAAGTAAAATAGGTTTGAAAAGTTTGATGTTTTTATATAATATACCGATAATTTGTCGTTTACTTATAATTGGGGTTATTGTTTAAACAATAATGATTTTTAAAAATCAGATTAGTTTAAATTTGATAATTAAAACTAACTTACTATAATACTTGTCAATGTTAATAATATATACATTAATTTATTCCATTATTAATATCTAGGTTTCGAAACTTCGAGAGGAGCTTGTTAGGATTAAGAACGTCGCTGATCAAGAAAGATTCCTCAGAGAAAAATATGAAACGAGGCTAAAAGATTTAGAACTGAAATTGAATACCATACGCTGTCCCGATATTAAAGCGGATACTAAAGCAAGTATAAAACAATATAGATACTAAAACAATCTTGTAACAAATTTTATAATTATTAAATTCTTAAAAGATAAAGATTCAAGTATGTAGATAGAGTATGAGAACGCAAGAAAAACAAATATTTTTTTCTTATTGCCTGCACTTATACCTAATATTAAGTTTTATTAATACTTTAATACCAATAATATGACAACACCAAAACAACCTTCTTTTACAGAATAATTCTGAAATAAATCATCATCATCATCATATCAACCGTTATCTGTCTACTATTAAATATAGACCTTAAATTATATTATATATAATTATAGACTGTCATAAGGTAAGCTTTTGAGTTACCTGCATCCACCGACTCCATCTTGTGTGAGGTCGTCCTACACTACGTCTGCCTGTACGGGGTTGTCGATTAGTCGGTTGTAGATTTTTCAAGCTATGTGGCTAGCCCGTTTACACTTCAATTGCCCATTGCTTAACTTTCAGGCAATATCGGTCACTTTGGTTCTTTTGTAAATATTCTCATTTCGTATTTGGTCACGCAAAGAAACTACGAGCATAGCTGGCTGAGTAATATGCAGCTTTTGCGCGGTTGTTCGTATAACAACTGTGTAGGACCATTTCTCGCTTCCGTACGCCATCACTGTCAGATTGAAGTATTTTGAATGAGAAATTATTGCGTAGATTTCCGAAAATTGCCTGGTCGAGTTGAATTCGTTGGTTAACCTCTCGGTTGAAGTTTTTTTAATGGGTGATAATGGAATGGTAATTTTACCTGCGCTATCCGTATACGCTACCGGGACAGTGAGGGAGGGCGGTAGGTGACAATGAAAGCAGATCAGTTAGCCTATAGTGAAGAATTCCACTAGAATCAACCACGATGGTTTACAGGGGAAACCGCGTGGAGATCGATCTGATAGGGCGTATTACTAGTAACAGTCCAGTTAGACCTCATTACTAACAATTCCTTCCCCCCCCCCCCCCCTTCGGTTGAAGTTAGACTTATCTAGTCAGATAAGTTTTCCCAAGGTATACATACTCGTCGATAACTTTGAGAGTAGTGCTTTCAGTATGACTAAGTATAGCGGACTAAGTATAGGTGTGACATAGACGTTAGACTTCATAAAATTATTGGAGATAATGTAGAGCCTAAAAGTAGCCCAAAGAGGCAAAGCACGAGGAGGTTATCGCCCTCAAGAATGAACAAGGCTCTGCCTTTGTCACCGACTTGACACTAGTGGAGATTAGAACTCAGCTAAACCAAATCCAGACTCAAGTTAACAACAACACCGAGATGGCTAGGCAAGCTATCATTTATAAGGAAAAGGAGCCCACTAAACAGCCACCTCTGGAGGTATCGAATCCAGACAAACATAAACATTCATACCAAACGCAAAAAAGGGAAATCAAATTCCTCATAGTTATACAGATATTATTGCTAGGCCCAACTTTACAGTTTTCTTGAAGTCACCTAACCCCTAGCAAAACTAGCGAGGATGTCATAAAACAAGTTAAACAGAGTGTGAACGTTATTGAGCTTGGAATTTGTGTTAACTAAATAACCAAAATAAAGAACCAAAAGGTTATTATGAGTTGCAAATTCCAGGAAGAGCGAAAAGTGCCGTGTTTCGAAGCGAGCGGAAAGTGTGATTTCAATTTTTTTAAAAAACTGGTAATTACTATACCATATCGTTTTTAAATTTTAAAATGTACAAATAAATTCCTTTCATATGCTCTCGACCGAATCAAATCTCATAGTTGGCAAACGCCAGACATATTGGCAATATATATTTTTCGGTATTCTATATAATGTTCCGTAGTGTATGTATATGGTCAACGGTGCTAAAGACCTTTCAGAAGCCAACTTGTTTGGGTGGCTAGAAATCGTGAAATTCGCTCGTAAGATGTTCAGTCAGGACTTTCGAAAACAGACTGTAGACTCGGTTTAGAAGGGATATCGATCTATAGTTCTTTAATAAGATATCGTCATCCTTTTTAAATAATAGGATCACCGCACTCTGCTCCATGTCTCGGGCGTAACATCGTTATTGATGACAAAATTAAATAGCCTCTGAAGGGCTATAAGTATTGGTTTTCCACCCGCTCTCAAAGCTCTGTTGTAATTCCGTCCACCCCCGGTACTTGGCCATTTTAGCTGTTTGAGAGTCGTTTCAATCTTCTGCAAACTGACGTCCGGTATATCATCGGTATTATGTCCAGTGACTGTAGCTCTTTAGTTATTATCTGTATTGGTTTGTAATGTTAACCACTATGTACATAGCCACCCATAAAACTTCTTAATCTCACTCAAAATCTCAGATGTAACGGATATTATATCCCCAGTATCAGTCTTTAACTTTGTCAGTTGGCGTCACCCAATAGCTAAATCCCTAGCGTGTAATTGTAAATGAGCCTTGATTCCGTCTGTTTAATGCATACAGTATTAAACTGGCGTATTATATGTCATATGATGCCTATATTCCGACGTAGCCGATAAAGACTGGGACCACAATTCACGCCATTTTTTCATGAGATCTATAGTGCGATCAGAGAGTTTTTGGGTTCTTTTTGAGCGTTAAGGCTTGCATAATTCATTTCCCACTGCTTGGGCAGTTTCTATCTTATCATGGATATCGTTCATTGTTTAACAGTTCATCAGACACTGAAGTAGATATTTTCAGAAAAAAAAATTACGCAATATGACTCAACAATCTTGGGAAAATCGGTTTAAATCTATTTAGAAGATAAGAACTTCAATATTTGAAATCGATTAAAAATGAACTAAGTTGTACATAGACATGTACTATATAATTAAATCAAATTGTTACTTTTTTTATGCAACTTAGAATGGCAAACAAGCTGACGGCCCACCTGATGGAAAGTGGTAACCTATAGGCATGAACAGTACCAATAAGTATTTATTGAAACAATTAATATTATTACTGTATGTACACTTAGTTCTTCATTACCTAACAGATATCATTACTTAAAGTGGAAAATAACTTAGTGTAAACATAGGCATATCGTGTGGTAACTATTAATTGACAATGGAAAAATGAAGATACCAATTAGTATCTAATTTACATAATCAGTATTACTAATTATTGATGTAATAATGTTGTAGTTCCCCTATTTCAGATACCCGCACACTTTCGATTGTTAAGATACATTATAGTAGAAATTAAAATTCAATAGAAACTCATTTAGAGATTTTTATATCTAAAATTGCACTATTTATCTCTTATAGATCAACCTTTTTAGATCCAATAGAAATTTGATTGTAATAATTGCACATAAAATAATAATAAAAAAAAACAATATCTAAATTTCTTAAATGCTGTTATATACTAGTAACGCATTCAACAAGATTTGCACCGGAATTGGATAACTATTATTTAATTAAAAAATTGGTATAGCTATATAAAGCTACGCAACGACGGAGTATAGGGATTTTGCAAAAAAGGATTCTGAACTGCTAATTGTGGACTTTACTATTTGCTTAAACGAATGACAAAAAACTATTCGGATAGCAGTATCTACGTGCATTTTTTGTTATCATCATTAACACCCGTTATATTACTGTCACTCATCAACTCTTTTCTTAGAAGATGAGCATTTTAGCCTATAGTTATTCGTTGGCTAGTCTAGCAAGCGTGAAAATAAAAATTCTAAATACAGTCGATAGTCTTTTATTTTAAATTTTCCTTTTTTTGATTGCAAGAAATTCTATGTTGCAAAATTCTACATTTCCTACTCATTTTTTCCTAATTATATAATTTAAATAAAATTAATAATATTTTATAATATAATAATATAATTATTATATTTTTATTGTCTTAATCACTCTGTCTCTTTTAACTTTATTTGACAAAGAGGTGAAATTTCTATGCAATGTGTTCGAATTATATATTTTTTAGCCTGAGCGTCGAAAGTATATTCTTAAAAATACATTGTAATAATCAATAGTCTATCATGTGCTGTCGTCTTCATTAAATAATTATAGCTTGTTCTAACAATAGGAGGTACAGAGATTTTCTGAAGGGGAGGTTACTGCTATGAAAATGCAAATTAGAGATTTGAAGGAAGAAATGGAGGAAATGAAAATAACTCTTGTTGAAAAAAATGAACAATTACAAGAATATCGCGTGAAGGTTGGTATTTTAATTTGCATCATTAATATCTACTAAGATAGGTACTACTTTTGATAAACTGTTTCTAATTAATGGAAGAATCATGGTCTGAACACTGTATATAAATTTTAAATTCAGACTATAACTATGATAGAAAATAGAGCAAATAAATTATTTCGAGTGACAGTGGTAGGCGCGTATTCGGCCACTTTGAAATTAAGATTTTTATTGAAATATGGACGTATTATTACATTCGCTACAACGCTAATAGACGATAATTCGCAGAACTACTTCAGTAAGTCATCGTCATCGTTATCATATCAGCCGTTAAGTGTGAATTGTTGAACATAGGCCTCCCTATAAAGGGTGTAGGCGGGTTGACAACTACAGTTAGGCTTTGGTAATGTCTTATGAGGCACGCTGCTACACATTTAATAACCCCATATAAGTTAATTATTAATGGTTATTCTTAATTAGTAATCCGGTTCAGTTTTGCACAGGTAGATAGAATTTTCAAAAATATATATTTTTATATTACACGCTGATAACTATACTACATGCGAAAGATTTTTTTAAATTGCTTATTGAGTTTATCGATTACAAATAAACAAACAAATAATTAAATCTTTTTTTTTATAATATTAGTATAGATAAAGTATCTATACTAAAATAGTTTCCTTGTATTTTGGAAAACCTAAAATAAATAACAAACAAAAATAAATTTCATCACGTTTAGTCTTGAATGTGTAAACAACGCGAAAGTTTAAAATTAATAATTAATCATAAAAGAAAACGAAAAGTACCTTGAAAAAATTTTATAGGTATAACGTGATTAATACGTATCCTGTGGTTAGTTTAGGCATATTTACATAATGTTATAGATTCTCAAAACTCAATTTACTTCTCTTAAAACTTTTAAGTATCGTAGAGCGAACTATATAAAGCGCTAATAGATATTTAGTAAGTCTACTTTACACAGTTTTACGAGGTTTAGTCCTATTTGACCGCATAGAAATATATTAAGTTACATAATAATAAAAGCTAAGTGCGGTACGTTATTTATCTGGTTGCGACCTTAAGAACTCTTACTTTACTCCGAGTAACTATTACGCGGATATACTCGTAAAGTAATAAAATTGGATTTCTTAGTTCTCTTCGCTTTGTATTTGATGTGAAAAGATAAGAATGCGAATGCAATGGTAGCAAATTTACAGCTAGCTTTTCTAATAAAAAAGTAATAGTAGGTCCTATGAGTACCATATTATTATATTAAATTATATTATACAGTATGTTAATTAACGTAACTTATTCCATAAAACTGGTATACATGATAGGAACTTAGTTATAATTTATTAATAGGTCTCAAAACTCTTGGAAAAAAAATTATACTATCAAAAACTAAAAAAGTAAAATTCTTATAAAAAGAACAACTTGTATTTGTACCAACGGAAATACACAGTACAAAGTATGTACATACCTATTATTATGTAATGCCGTTGGTACAGATACAGTTGCTCTTTTTTCGTGACTTAATTTTTTTTTATAATATTTATTCTGTAGTTTTTTGTAATATAAACATTATTTTTAGGAATAGAATTTTTTTGAGATTTTATTAATGAATACTTAAACTGGTTTTAAAAAATGTGTTATGTAAATTAACATCCTGTATATTAATATAAAATTATATAATTGACAGAAAAGTAGCACTGATAAATCAGCAAAACTATTTGTAGAGAATAAATAGGTAGAATAATAAGGTACCTATACAATATTAATTCCCGTCATGTGTGAAAATTTTCAATCATTTAATAATATTCGTAATTATTGAAATATGGTGTTCATATTTTTATAATATTTCTGTTTCTATCCATTCTCATACAAAGAAAATTAGAAGAGAACAGATTCATTATTTACCTTAATCGTAATTTAATTTTTCAGTATCTCCAAGCCCAACAACAAGTGGAAGAGCTAAAAAGGCAACTCGATGTTATAGAGTTTGATAATAAACATGTTTCAGATCAAATACAAATAGAAATACAGAAAATGAAGGTATGATTTAAAGTATAAATTTTACAATACCAAAGTATTAATTCATTATAATTTTTAAATACTAGTAGACACAGCAAACATTCCTTTGCCCTTCCTATCGTCATCTACTAGGTTAAATTGGTTTTTTATCAGAATAAAAACTTGAGAGATATTCAAGTAGGAGTAAATAATTCAGATTTACATAATTTGAAATTGTGTTACACAAAGAAAACTAACTTCAATTGTGGCATAATCAGTAGTTTTGATTCAAAAATTAAATTAATAAATCGATTTTGATAAAAAGAATGTTCTAAATCGGTTTACAACTGACCGAATTATAAGGTAACAAACGTAAAAATACCACTGATTTAAAAAATCTTCTTTTTTTTAAGTCGATTTATAATTTAATAAAAATTGGTTGAGTTGTTTCGGACATTGGCGTGAACGAACATTTGGAGTTCCATAGATGCACAAAATACACACTTCGAAACAGCATCAGCTGAATATATATCGACAGATCAATTCAGCCATCCATTGCACTGATAATATGATTTCTTTTACCATAATAGTATGGTGGCGAAAAAACCTATGGCCCGTCTAATGGTAAACCGGATTACCATAGCCTATGGGCGGTAAGGATAACATCAAGGATATCTTGCGTACGTTATCCATCATTTGATGGTGGTTAGACACTAGTAAAAATTATATTGTGTAATATAGGAATATTATATGAATATATTTTGTTAATCCTATGGAAATTTACACTACTCATATCTTGAAATTTTATTTAAATATTATACTAAGTATATTAAATATTTGTAATAAATAATTTAGTTTTGTTTTAAAAGATTCGTGGACAACTACTAACTTTTATATAAAGCTGTCAAATATGGTCTTGGAATATTAAGTTTTAGGAAATATCAAGTTTTTGTATTCTTATTACCCCTTAGTAGATACAGACAATATTCTTTAAAAGCTATAGATATATTCATTTTCTGCAGATGCAGTTTCAAGAGAAACTACAAGAGCTGGCACCTCTACCAGATCTGCTCAAGGGAGCTCAAATACAACTTCAAGAAGCTAAACAATTACAGCGGTTAGCTGAAGACAGTTCGCACCAACTTTCCAATGAGCTGTATAGAGTTAAAGAAAAGGTACACACAATTTTAGTGCAAAAATCCTTTCGATTTTAAATGGAGCATCGTTTCAAATTAATTTGGAATGCAGTGGAATGTTATTAAGCAGATGATGGTTCACATATTAATTTAGAATCCTACTAATATTATAAATGTGAAATTTTGTGAAGACATTTGGATATTTCAATGTTTAGACATTTGGACGTTTGTTACTCAATCACGTTTAAATGGCTGAACATCTCAAATACAAAGAGTCAACCTTAAATTATAATATGTTTTGAAGAATACTTGGAGTAAGTGAAAAAAATTAATTGACGAACTTATTATCATGTATCATTTTTACTTCTCAGTCAGAATAATAAGATCTAGTCTTAAATATATCTTGTTTTCAGCTTGTAATAGCTGTAAATAACTTTAATCAAGAAAAAACAGAGAAAATTAAGTTGTGCGAGGAGAATAAACTGTTCAGAATGTCAACAGATGAAAAACAAAAAGAAATTGATGAATTAGATAAAAAGTTGGATGATTACAAGTAAGATTTAAAAAGTTATCGAGTTACATATTATAATATATTCTTTCTTTTAGTTATTTAGGAAACTGAGAAACTGAACGAAGTTGAGAATCATATGACTAGAAATGGTTATTTCTGGTTTTTATATATATCTTATAAAAATATTTATTTAGAGGTGTTTTGATTTATTATAAGGCTATGTATTATATTAACAAATATTGCATGACTTTATTTTAGGTGTCAAGTATTGAGACTCGAAGAGAAATTATTGCAGCAAGAAAGTAGATTTAAAGAAAAAACAACTGAATGTACCCAATTATTAAGAGACTTAGATGAAATAAGACAGGAGAATAATCGATCTCTAGTCCGTAATAAAGAAAGAGCCGATTCTATGAGACGGTATTTGCAAACTCAAATATCGGAACTTGAGAGGCAGTTGATCCAAAATCGAGCACAATCTAGAGCTTGTCAGAAGGAAAGAGACGAGGTATATTATATTACCTAAAACAGTAAATTTATGGATATTACTAGCTTTTTGTTCACTATTTCGTAGACGTGGCTTTAGAAGTAGAAAAACCAATGAAATACACCACTTGTAGATGGCGTATTCATTTTAAACTACTACCAGATATTGAGTTAGTTCTTTAGGGATACAAATGTGGAAAATACTAGTTTTTTTGTAATGCCGGAACAAACCACAGACAGACAGACAATATTTTTACTTATATCGCTCTTATTAAGATCCTTGAAATCAATTTTTCTTAAAATCTTTCATGTACAGACGTCGTTTAGTTACACAATAATTCTTTTCATATTGCATAGCTGTTTTGGTTTGAAGAGTAGGATAAACAGTAAAATTACAGAGTAAAATTACAAAGCAATAATAACGTGTTTCTTAGGAACGGCAACATCTGAGGGGTATTATGGGCATCATCGGCCATAGTCATAGTCACCATAGTCCTGGCATAGAATGGACTACCTCATTCTTTCCCGTTGGTGTCGTAAAAGACGTTTAAGGGAAATTGACGGTCAAGGGATGGATAGCGATGCCATCTTTATAACATACGTCACCAAAGCTTAACTGCAGTTGCTAACCCGTCTGTCAAGTGGGACAACTACTGGGAAACCTCTTTAATAGGGGGAGGCCTATGTTCAGCAGTCTACTGCTATTAGCTGATATGATAATGATCCGTATTGTTTTATTATTGTCCTCATTTTATTTATATTTAAGATACGGCAACGCATGCAAATCCAAGTCAACAATTTGCAAGAGAACTTTGAATTAGTTGAAATTCGACTTCGCGCCCTCCAAAACCAAGTAGTTTCATTGAAGAACAGTTACACGGTCATTTTGTCTGACGAAGACGATAATGAACTAAGCAAGATTTCTGCTGCCACATAATTTTATATGTCTGCTTTATCTATTATTATTAATAAATACATTTGTATTTTTATTTTCATTAATTTATATATCAATATAAATAAAAATTTATGGGTAAATATGCTAAATCAATTCAGCTATTTATTTTGCAAACATTATTTAAAGTTCAATAAGGGATTTATGAGGTGAAAAACTGGGAAAACAAATTAAGAACAATTTGTTTTCCTAGTTTTTCAATTGAAATATTTCAATCTCCAAAACTTCTCAACCGATTATAATACAATTTTTTTAATTATCTATTGTTTACTCCATATTGAGAAAAAGGGTAGTTATGGTTTTGGTAAATGATAGTAGAAAAACAACAACATTTGCCGCGTCGTAAATGTCGTCGCATAAGAAATGTGTAATGTATTTGTTTTAATAAAATATCATATTATAATTTAGTAAATTAGTCGTTTTCCGCTGCCTTACTCGCGTAAATTAATATAAAGTGTTCCATAGAGCATACTTTGTTTTGCCATAGATTTGTAAAGATAGATTTTCTAAAGAACAAAGTACCTAAGTACTTCTGGATAGTAGAGCCATCCTATGTAGGTGTTCGTGTATTCCGATATTACGTGTACGTGCACGGAATACGTAATGAGTGCAAGGTGGTAATGTTCATTCTGTAATCAGTTCTATGTGACCTGCGCCGCACAATATGCCCTTGCTCGACTTGAGGCCGCGCCTCTCCATTGCCTTGTTTAATGTCAACGTACAACAATCTTTTTATTAAGCATTTTTTACCTTTTCGTTTCGAGGTGTACCTGCTCCGGGACCTGTTCTCATATTATTTAATGGTCTTTTTAATATATCTCTTTATTTCTCTATACACAAACACATTTTACCTTATATCCAGAGGTCTCTAATTATTGGATTTTATTGTAAAGGAAATAATATTATTATATATTATATTATTATTATACTATAATCATCGACATTGAATAACTATTTTCAATGTCTTTAGATAAAATTGTGCTGACTTTGAAAGGTAATTAATATTGTATTTTTCGCAATCCGATTATTCGCGGAGCAATATATCCCTCGAGACCTTAGAAAATCTTATTACAGGTAAGCGAGGTCCGGACTCGTGTCCCCTTTTACTGATTGGTTCCTATAATTCTTTTTATTTCTGTAATATTATTAAAGATGGATATTTATTAAGTACGAGTTTCGGAAATATTATTTTTAGATTTTTTAAAATATTGTGCACAAAGTTTCGTGTATATTTTTTAAGTACAATTTGTTTTGTAGTACATACAAAATTATTGCTTTCATAATAAGTTTTAGGAAAGTTTCTTATCGAATTTTAATTATATTATATCATACTGTTTCGATTTACAAATGTTGTAAGCGTGAGAGTGAGGGTATTTACAGTTGAGGTTATTTAGTTATTCAGATTTCTTATCCGTTTAAAAACATTCAAGTTACTTACAGTAACCTCATTTCAAAAATAAGTACACAGATTTTTTTATATTAAATAAAGTCTTGCTAGATATTACTATTTAATGGTAATACTAAATATACTAAAGATAGTTATACCAAATTCTTCCACTACAATATGAAATATGTGAAGGTTTAATTCAAAATGCTTGAATTAACTGTCTTTTTATTAAATCTTTCAAATCACTTAAATTCAGTTTAATACGAATATCTAAACTTAATTGTAATTGAAACCTTATTTATTTTTATACCCGGAAATAGACTCCAATCGAATCTTCTTAATTAGATGAAAATTTGATATGATTTTACTTCATTAAATCCAAAGGGTCTATTTCTTTTATCTCCAAAACGTCGTAAGATACAAGTAGTAAAACAATGTATAATGTGATTTGGTGCAATAGAAGTAAAATTTTAAAATAATCTTTGCTAATCTGCTTAGTATGGTAATGGATATTATACTACTATAATATTACATGGAGATACCCATGCCTAGCAGCAAACTACTAATGTATTGATACTTTACAATTTGTTCTTTTATAGTTTGTCCTTACTTCTACGTATTCTTTGCAATAAATTTCCATAATTTCTAATTATTTTATTTTACATATCTTTGATAGTATCCAAGAAATATTAATGTATATGTAGTATAACAGTAATATATAAACATGTGGTGAAAAATAAAACATTTGTTTACACTCAAACACATATATTTTTGTTTGGCATTTTATCTTTTTGGTGCTCCATTTTTTTTATTTTGTGTCGTTTTAAATTATAAATAATACTAGTAGTAAAGGTCTCGCAAAACCTGCACAGCCTCCCTTAATGGGCAATTGAGAGCTCCGTGTAGTTTCCGAGGGCCCGGGCAATGAACTCGGCAATAAATAATACAATAAGGTACAAAAAAGTATTCAACGAAGTACCATCCAATGGTTTTCACACTCACACGATCTACACATGTCAATAACACTCGTTATATCTATAATATCACTAGCTATACAGAAAACGGCAAGGCCGCGTGCACTGATCCATTGATGTGTATTAATAATAGGGTAATCACTCAAAGTGAGAGCCCTTAAGCTTCTTGACGGCATTGGTGAGATGCAGCATTTCAGTGTTCAGCTGACCAATGAGGGTTTCCAACTTATCGACGGAATCCAGCACCTCGACGCGCTCGGTGTGTGGGTTGAAACGCACCTCGAATGGTCGCGACATGGTCGACACCCAACGTCTACGAGAAATAAGTGATTAAATTTCTTTTCTATGAAATTGTAAATATAAAAACAAATAACAGAATCGAAGAATGTTTACCTAAACTTATCTTTGGCATCTTCGAGGCTCTCGGCTACGTAATAGATGGGCTGAACGTCTTGGTCTTGATAAGGCTGTACCGCAGTGGAAGCAGGCTCGAACGGTCTAAGTTCTGGCTTATCACTGATGGCGTGTAAAAGTTCACTAGTGGAAGACAGTAGAGCAGCACCGTAAGCCTTCAGCTCTTGATTTTCTTTGCATAGCCCAAATTCAACGGTGAACCAGTACACCTGTACAAAAAGTCGATTTATCGTACAACGATATCTTGTGTTTATAAAATTATTATTTACACCTAGAAGGAAAATACAATTCGCAATAGCATGGGCCCAACATAATAAATTCTTAATTCGCTTATATGCAATAATTGAGAATAATAAAAATAATAAAATAAAAATAAACGTAATTAACACATGATGAAGATGAAGACAACTTACAGTGGAGAGTTTTTCGATTTCAGTGTCGGAAGCTCCAAGAGAAGCCAACCCAATTTCTTGCGAAAATTGAGCGAAGCTGGGGTCGGCCAATAATGGAATATGGCCCAGAAGCTCATGTATACAGTCACTGTAAACAAATTCGAACAATGTACATAAATGTTATACAAGTGGATTACATTAACGATATTAAATAATACTATGTGACCTTGAACTACCTACGGACTTAACACTACGATGCAGTCATGCGTTATTTTATGTAGTGGAGGTTACTTAACTCGATAATATCTCGCCTTTGATGCTACTAAAAAGTTACTATTGAAACGCATTAAAGTGAAACTAAATTAAAGCGAGACATTTAACGACATTACAGTTCCCATCACGGTACACCCGCTTCCATTAAACGAGCAAAACGATTTCACTAGACGTCTATATTATTAGTTACATAGAATAGATCACTTAAAAATACCTTTTTATGAATCTCTGTCTAACTTTATGGATTTTTAATAAAATATATTTTAGTTTATGATACGAATTTTGCCATTGTTCGGTAATAATAATTTGCTATAATTTCAATTTGTCATTGATTAATGTTATTATTTAAATTACTTAGTTCCAGTGTTTTTATTTTAAAATATTTTTTAATTTATTTACTCATGCGACCGGTTTAGGAACATTAATCTCGGGCGCAAATAAACAAAAACAGTGAGATTATGTATGTGTATTTTTAATAACAATATAATACCTAATATCATTATATTATATATCTATATTTTATAATTATTATTAAATAAAAGTATAATTTTCGCAAGTTTTAGTTTGATTTCGCAATTTATGGTTTTTATTATTTTTATATTAGTATTGACATCGTGTAAATAAATAATGTAATGATTGAAGTTGGCATATTACATGTTTTATCAAAGATCGGAATTTAGATCCGAACAAGCTTCATAAACAAATAAAACAATTCTCCTTTTCTGGCAGGATATTAAACATTATTATCATCATCATCATCATCATCATCATCATCATACCAGCCCTTAACGGTCCGCTGCTGAACATAAGCCTTTTCCTTGGGGGGTTTTGCCAGTAGTTAGCACGCTTGGCAGGCGAATTGGCAGTTAGGCTTTAAAGATGTTTTAAGAGAGACGCTGCTGCTTGTCTCTTGTCCTTATTATTAAAAAATAAAGTAAACAATTTTGATACAACGAAATATAAATTTTTAAATGTCCGTGACGTAAACGATAAAAAAAGAGTCCGCGACGTTGCGAAATTATGCAAGGTGGCCTCTTAACATAAATATCAGCATGTATAGCATAATTAGGTCCGTTTTACAATTGAATGTGGATCGACCCAATTTACATAACATTTACAAGGATATATTTGTTACGTAAGATTTCCGTAAAAGACTCGTCAAGGTGCTTGTCATATAATTATCAATTCTGAGTCTAATTAAATGATAAATAAGTAATGTTAAATTACTATTATCTTTGACTTTGTAATAACACCTGTCGGACAGGTTTATTTTTTATTGAAATCATTGGACAATTGGCCACTTCGTACTACTGAAGCTAACGTCAAACGTTGGTTCAAATTTTTGGTAATTCAATTATAGTTTTCAATAAATTTTAAGATAGATTATATCAGAGGCCATCGATCTATTGCTGCTAAGTACCGTCAATTCAAAAAAGCTTTATAACCAGCCGATAAATATCAGTATTATGGGACATACTGCCTTATTTACTTTGCCTATATTTAATTTCTTTTTTTAAGCTACTTTCAAAGGAAAGTGGATATCAATTCGTATTTTTTTCTGGGAAAGTTGCGTAATTACGTCATCAATTCTGATCCGATTTTGATAATTCTTCTTACAATCGATGGGGCTTACTCTCGTATTAAAACCGAATTAATTTTGTGATGATTGAAAATGAAATATATTCAGGTAGATGCATTATATATGTATTCTTAGGTACGATATGAATTTTTAATGAAATTTAAAAAAAAATTACTTGTACTTAATAATTGCAAACAAACCATCTTGGACTACAATTCCGCGCAAGAAGTTCACATAGGTATTTTCATTATAATGCGTCTTTGAAACGTCTTTCATCCGAATTTTATTACGATTAAAGTAATTTTCTTACGGAACAAAATCAAATTTATTTATATAATTATTTTAAATATTAATGTTAATAGTAAAAGGAAATTATATATATATTCTATAAGTGAAGGTACGAATATTTTACACTTTCAGTTTCCGTATTGTCCACCTCGCAGAGAACTATTTCCGTCTTTGAGCAATTGATTTACATAATAATAAGTGACATATATGATCGATATCTTGGATTAATAAGAAGTCGCGAAAAAGGAATTAATCTGATAATATTAATTATTATACTATAGATTTCCATTTTTTGTATATATTAACGTAAGTAATATTTATATATTCAGTAATGAAAAGTATTTTAATTATAGATATAGAATATTACGTATAAATGACAACGAAATATCAGCGTTTCTAATAATAAATTGATATAATAGTTGTAACTGAGTTACAAATTAATAAGGATAATAATAATTATCGATTCCGCATGGATTCCGCTATAAAACTAGTTTGACAAGATCCATATGTTTGTTTTATTTATGAAGATTTATACCTACAAAATACATTCATACAATACGTAAAATAAGTATACATATGGATTTGAGATAAGTCATGAATTTATAAGTCTGCATATATTAACAAATTTGGCCGGATTAAAATATTAATTAAATTACATTTTTGATTAAATAGGGCACGTCCAACTTATGCTGTATCTTTTTCGAACGTTTTGTATGACTCCTAGAAGACTCTATCTCATTTTTGCAATAAACAACAATTAAAGAATCGGCGTGATTCCGCCTAAAGAATAAGATGGCAATTATAATATTTGATATAAAAACATCTTAATCTTCACGAACGTTAAAAGAGTAAGAGTGTCAAGAGCAGCATATTTTTATGATAAGAATGGTACTGTTATAGTTTAATCTGCAGGTAAAGTATACGGGACTCCTTAGTTCGTTTCAAATTATTTCAACTATAAAGAAATGAAAAATCACTATGTACTTACGGTTCAGGGGTGTGGAACGGACGAGTGGCATGACGAACGTATTGTGTAGATTGGAAGACACGGAAAGCGAGAGAGGCCAGGAAGTCGCGGGATGTTAAAAGACCAGCAGCAGGTCGTACTGTGAATCCTGTATGTTTACGAAGGAAGTTGCTCACATCCTCCAATTGGGGTATTTTGTCTGGAACGAATATTTTAGCAGCCACTAGTTTGCCGAACGCGGCTCTGTACTCAGAACAGGCGTGCTTATCCATTAGATCTAGGACGGTTTTGAATACTCGTTGCCAGGTAGCATTCTCCGTCTCTGTGTAGGTGATGTGCGGGATTGGATCTCCATATTTGTAAGCGAAAGCGATTTCTGCAATTTCCTTCCTTCGCTCTCTGTAGACCTTGTCTGCAAATCCAGGGTGGTTCATGTCTAGTTCTGGCTCATATTTAGTCATAAGGTGGTTGCAGTTATCGAGGTCGGAAGCGTGACAAGGGAACCAAGGTGTCTTGCTAGAAATATTGTTTTCGGAGACAAGGTTGACTCCAGCGAAAGATGTAGATTGACGAAGAGATCTAATAAGTTGCAGTAAGTTGATTCGAGACATGCTAACTTTCACGAGAGCATCAAATTGAACTCCAGCCAATTGAGATGGACGAGTTTCTAAGTGTTGCACACAGCCTTTGTAGTTGTCGATGGTTTTTAGGATTCTTGCAAGCGAACCCATGCCATCTCTCATACGTAACAAAAAAGCAGCTTGTTGAATAGCCTGTTCTGCTTCAGGAGATTCACTGGCTGCATTTTGCAAAATCACCTCCTCCTCAGTTAGCGTGTAATCTGCAACAATATTATTTTTTTTAAACTAGATCTATTTGGGTTTAGCTTATTATAAAATTTACAAAATATCATTTATTTTCTGTATTTTAAATGATAATAGATCATTTAGTTTATCCGTATACTAACCTTCATTAGTCTTCGCAGCATCGCCAATGTCAGCATCAGCTAAACAAAATAAGAACGTAAAAAAATCAAAACAAAAAAAATGTTAAAAAAATATTAATACTTCAAGAAACCAAATATAAAAAAAAAAATTACCAAGCTGGCCGTTTTTAGTTTCATCTTGATAGGTTCCATCTTCGACAGTTGGTGAGTTGTCCTCGTTACCAATATGAACTCCATCTTGGAGAAATTCGGAGTCCAAGCCAGAGTCTAAATATCCAAAGAAAATAAATAACATAAAAAAATAAAATAAAAAAAAATATAAAGAACGTTTATTTTCAGGTCTGTGTAATGAATTATGGTATTGCATTTAACATCTATTCTTACCATTGGCACGGGCGCGAGCCTCTTCTAGCACGCTTTGTTTGTTCTGTTTGACAACCAATGTTTCGAAGCGAGCGTCATCTACGAGTGAACGACGGCGGGATGGGTAGCCGTTCTGTAACAAATAATAAATATTATCAGAAAATAAAATTTTGTACCGTTATCAGCCCTTATAAAATAATTTAAATAAAAAAAAAATAACGATTTTACATTCGTATTCACATACTGATTAATTTTAATAAAAGTTATAATTAGATGTTTGTTTAAAGAGTACTAAAACGTAGATTTATATTATAATCTACAAGTTATAAACACAGCCTTTTTTGGTTAGTTAGCATTCACTGGAGCGCTTTATGTGTGTCAATGATGTTTGAATTTTAATTAAAAGTATTTAGTGCTTGAGTGCTTACTGTTTATAATTGGTTTAAGAATTACTACCAAGTTGTACCGTAATAATAAAATGAATATAATGTAGTAAAGTCCTGATAGAAAAATGATGATAGGATATAAATTACATTGAGGTTCTAAGAAGATAGAGCAACTTGCAGTAAAGTTGTTACGCGTGGTAGATAATTCATAAAATTCGTTTCACAATTGCTCGTTGACAAGATTGAACGGGAGTTATATATGTGCTCTAGTGACCACATATCACAAAATAAGTGTAGGTACTTATTAGTACCTACACTTATTTTTGTATTTTAAATTATAACTTTCGTGAACCTTTTTGAAATAAAGACATAAATCAAGTTCACTTTATCGAGCACAAAGGGCGCGACTAAAAATAACGCAATCTCCTAAATCCTTATAAATATAAAGCGGTCACATCGCATTATATTTCATGTGAGAGTAGGAATTGCTCTTACGAAGTTCCTAAGCTTATTTCCTGAGTGTGGTCGGGCGTAAAGTGCAGCCATTATTCCCGAGCTTGCGACCCTCGCAGCCGCCGGAAGCGACATCTCGCGATGGAAATCTTTCAAAGGAGCTACGTTTTCTGGACGACTGCTTTCGAATGAAGCCAATTACAACAACTTTCAAATGCTAACTTTAGATTATTGTACAGTCATTTTGCTGAACCATTGAAGTCTTCATTTTACAGCTATGAGTAGGTTCTAAAGAGTACACATCAGTAGCATATGGTCTAGATATATTTCTTGTGAATTTGTTAAAATCTAGATTGAAATCTTTTTTCAGCTATTGGAAATTAGTTAATTATAAAGAAACTCAGGTACAATAAAATGATCAGCTTGTTAGAATTTGTGGTATCGAGATTTTACCCTAATATTACAAAAGAATATATTACACTAATATTTATTGTACTAATTAAAATTTTATAATATATATAATTATGAATGATTTCCATGGATTGGTGGTACGCGATACGCGTGTAGCCGTTGTGTAGCGCAGTGCGCGGGCGTCGAGACCTAGCATTTTCCACTAGAGTGGCCGCGCGAACCTAACTATGTATGTCAAGGGTTGTACTAATCACTTGCAATTGTTACCGAGCCCCTGAAACGAAGCATAGTGCATAATTATGGGCTCTCCTGAAAACCTAGTATACTTCGACTTGATTAATTAACATTTTATTTACAAAGTGACCGCCATCGAAATTGCGGAAACAGCGGTATTGCTATATTGTGAAGTTAAAGGTCCGCCTAACTGGAGCGAGCAGGACTCGGAATCCGGTTGATATAGCCTTGGTTTGTCCGAGTGGCCACTTCACCGTTCCAATCGGTCGGCGGATAATTAACTGAAGCCAGAGAGCGCTCGTCGGTTCTGACCTGCCACCACCCTGTGCTATTGTTTACAATTTACACGACCTCACACACTCCATCAAGAAATTTGGCAAATTATCGAACACATGACTGTTTCGTGTCATTTTATTAAAACTGTAACTTTTAATTCAATCTTTTCAATCTACAACTTTAAAGTAAAACTATATTGTCTTTGATAAGATGAGATTTTCCGCAACAATAGGTTTACCGTGCCGAAGAACTATTGGTCAAGGGCGCAACGAAGACCTCGATTAGTTTTATTCAAAATAAATATCTAGTACTAATTTTAATTGCGTGTATTTTGGCAAATCATGGTAAAATTATTTGTACTGTAGTAATGAGACACATTGGTTACAAATTTTGTGAACATGACGCGGTTATTAAATGTTACAGTTATGTCGCTGCCTTAATAAGTAGGCATAATATCAGACATGTAGGAGGTGCGTTGATCGTGCCACATGATTGAATTTTAACGATCTTTACCGATTGCAGTTGTAGCGAGCGTCGCACCTCTTTGCATTCCGACCTTCGATGGTCAAGGAAATACAATCATTCAGCCACCAATTATAAAATAAACGCTAATTATAACACGTTAGCTACATGCTTAGTTATCGCACAGCGTTTAAAGATGTAATCAACAAAGAATATAAAGGCAACACAATTAAAATTTGTATATGACAATAATTTTGTAAGATATAAGAGCGATAGCTCATATGGAAATATGTGATGATTACATTTATATCCTTTGAGATTGTACAAAAATTCTGAGACAATTCGCAATATAATTTCGCATTAGCACATTAGGAAACTATTAGGATATTTTTTCATTTTTAATATTCTACAGTTGCTGCCCTGACATGAAAATTAAAGATTGACACGAGTTAACTATTACGTGTCAAGATTTTATGTGACAATAGTAGTAATTAATCTGTTAGCACACAATGATGGGAATTTAATTATGGCGAATAAATTAGACGTCTCTGTTAAAGTAATGATTGCAGTTTCGTCGGGAAACTTTTGTCAACAATAACTTATTTTTTTGAGCAATAAAAAATATTCCGTGAGATGTTACGCAACTCTTGTCATATGATGTTGTTGATAATTCGTGAAAGTATACAGGGTCTGTTAATAATGGATTAATTATCGTATCATAAAAACCTTATATTCACTACCGAGTCAATGTGATGTCAAGCATCGAACTTGTTTTTGACAATTAAACCATAAATTGCCGGTGAAAACACGACCTTTATAATTGCGGCTACTATTATTATTATTCGGTATTAACGACACTTTCTTTACGTCTTCGTGATATTTGTAATGATAATATTGTAAATATAAGACAGTGGATAATTTTAAAAACTTTAGGTGAATATGTAATTTGATGCATGTGTAATCAGTAATCAATTATTTTTATAAAAATGACATTTGATGAAGGTGTGATGATTTATGTTAAATAGTGCAAATAGGAGGCAAATTCATTTAAAACACTAATTCATATAGTTTTGTTATTAGAACAATGTAAAGTACAGAAGGTGGGATATTATTACTGCAATTAAGATATTATTGATTTTAATATTTTGTTATGAAACCATTAAGCTAATGACATACTACCTAACGTGACTCAATTTTACAAAAAAATATTAATAAAGTCAATTAATTATACGGTATTTTGTTTACTTTGAATTTCTTTAAAATTATTGTTTGTAAACAGTATACAACCTTCACTTTCATGGGCGGTCATGTTATTAAAAATGTACTAATTATGTAAACAACAACATATTATCAAACCTTTAGAGGCAATCACAAAACTTTAACAGCGGAAAAGTGTTGACCGTCCACGAAAACTTGAGGGTTGACTGTTTTTCCCGTTAGGCAATCATAGGAGCAGGTGTCGGGCGAGCCCTGGCCTGCGAAGCCAAGCTCCTCACCTCGATGCTGTAGGATTTCTTGATGGCAAACATTTCGCGGTTCTTCTGAGCAGCAGCAACGGCCATAGCTTCCAAAAAACACACCACTGGGATCGGTAAGGCCTGAACTTAAGTTCACTGCGCGCTTAGCTAGCGTAAGTCTGCGAGAGCTTTATGTCTCGACCACTGGCGATTGCCTGTCTGTCTGCGACTCGAGCTGTCGTAATACTAAGGCTAACTAAACTTTGGATTGCAAACAGACCAATGCATGATGACCGTTCGCAAGAACAGTTTAAATAGTGTTAGGCGCTCGCCTCCCACCCCGCAGTGCCTTTCGTCGCGCATGCGTCATACTCCGCGTCCCGCGTGCCCCTCGCGCAGTCCTGCGTGTAGGCTAGAAATCATCAACCCTTAAAATCTTAAGACGTGGTGATCTTATTTAGCCCAAAATGGAATAGAATATAACTATTTACTAAAAAAAATCATGCAGTTCATTTAAATCTCCTAAGCGGTATCCAATCGAACGAGTACATATGGAAGAGAAACCTAATAACAAATTTTGTAATTGTCTGTACAACTGGTACAAATTATAATTATTTGAAAAAATGTAAAATATAATAAAGATATTGTTTATATCTTATTATTGCGTATGGTTATGGATGCAGGTTTGACGTAAAGATGTGTGTCAACGACCTGACGTCTACTAGTGGTATTCCCCCACAGTGTGTATTTTGTTAGCTCTACCATACAGGAAAGTATGGTAATTATGTAAACATAAACGATACGGTAAATTTTCCAAATCACAATTATAAAATTATCTGAAAATATTAGTCATCTTTTTTGTTTTAGATAATTATTGAAATTATTAAAATATGTTAATATAGTAATGATAACGAGTCTAATCTAATATAGGTGGTGTTATGAGAGGATAATACTGGATAAGTTATTTTAGAGTCCTAAAATTTTCTAATATGAGGTAACTTATGTTAGCTAGATGTGATCGCTAACTTATTTTCAAAACCGGATATCAGGTAGCAAGATAATAGATAAAGGGTTTTATAGATCCTTGGTCGTATCCGCTTTTATATGCGGAAGAGAATTGTTTTATTAAGTTCAACAATATATTACCTATCTCTTGTACATTGAATTTTAGTCGAATAAGATTTTTCTGTACTTATTTTGTTATTGAAGTAACTTGTACAATTTAAATTTACTTAATGCATTTGAGGTAATTAATTTTTATAAAGTTTAATGTAAATCTGTGTTACATTATTTCTAATTCATATGAAGCTCTGATGTTTCCATAAAAGAAAATGTAATTTTGTCAGCTGAAAATGTAATTTGATAATCTCTATTTTTTACTTCGTTACTAATATTATAAATTCAGTTTGTTATATTTTAGAGCCTTAATAAATTTTCCAATTATTATGAAATTTGTTATATGAGTATATACATATATATATGGGATTGAAGGGACTACTGACTACTTTTTAACCAGGTTATTAGAGCAAAGTTTCGGGTAAAAGCTGGTATAATATAAATTGACCAAAGATAATATTTTTTATCTATTATTATGTACACGTACTTCCATATTCCTATAATATTTATAACTATATTGTAGTATAATAAATAAAGAATCTTATTTTTAGTTTATGTCAAATAATTATTTTTATCTTAAAAATTACGAACAATATTGGTAGTTTAAAAAAAAATTTTAACAAAAGTTTGATACATAAATATTATACAGTATTAAAGATTCCGCGGTTTTTCTTACATTTTATAAGCACTATAGCTGTTGACACATGTTCATAGCTATGAAATATTATTGAACAAAGATTTGTTCGGTTATAACTTTTAACCGATTTCGGAAAAAGAAAGAGATTCTCTATTTGGTTGAATTTTTTATGTTTGTGATCATAGAACTCTATCATTTATAAACCGATATGAATATTTTTTTAAATAAGTTACTTTGAGATTTGTTACGTACGAATTTTAGGAAATTCTATTCAATAATTTGGGATTTTAATTAAAATAACTGCCAAATGTATTAATATAAAATTAAAATAAATTATGCTAAAAAAATATAGTATATATTTTTAAAGAATTTCCGAAAGGAGAAGGATTCAATTAATTTTTTGTATACATACTACGGGACATTTTACATTCCTCTGAACTGATATTGATAATTCATATATATTGTGTCACGAGTGTTACTGTTGTTCAAGAGTAAAATCTATTTGATTTTATTTAATTACTTTTAAAATAATTATAAAATAAACACCGACGTCAATCACGTAAGCCGGTGTTTATTTTTGCAAAGTAAATTCTACTTTTGTTTTCCTTTTGTTTATGTCAAATATAAATAATAATAAGTCCATCATTATTATATTTTTATTGACTTCTATTTAATTTATATGTCTGCGTTTAACTCCAACTACATATATTAGATCCATAACAGTGCACTGTTTCATAGGCTCTGGAGTAGACAGTTCGGTTCCGTTACTTTTAGGTAATAGTAACTAAAAGTAATCGTAATATAATATTATCTATACTCTGAGGATACTATTGGTGTAAATATCTTGTGTCACGGATATAAAGTTCTATTCTGTATTATGCTATATTATATTATATTATATCGATTTAATCATCTACTTGGCCTATGTTTAATATTAAGTACTGTACTATTGTTTTAGATATTTATCTAATGAATTCAAGAATTTTATGAACAAATTAAAGATTTAAAAATATATTATATTTAATAAAACAATAGTCATAACAGTTAAATGACACTTAATTCTAAATTTAAATTAGGTACAATATTAGACTAACTAAGAGTTATAAAATATTACCTATATCTGGTACGTAGACTGCCTTCCATTTATAATTGGCATTAATTATCAATCTTATGTAAATTTGTCACTGTCAGTAGCATGTATAGGTATAAATCAAATACAGAAATAGTACATGCCTAAAAAATAAACATACAGTCGTTTTTTTAATTGAAATTATTTAAAGGATTATGTGAATATATTAAAATAAATGCCTCAGTATATTTATTTTATATTAGGCTTAGAATACACGAATCGACTCAGATAATAACTCTAGTTATTTTTAATAATAAAATCGTGTCCAATATGAAAACAGTCGATGCAATTTATTGCACTTATAATAGTATTGAAAATACCTTGCGAAAAAGCTCAAGGACATCAGACAAACTGAAAGACGGACATAGACTGTTTTCTTATCTTTTATCTCAGTCAATGAAAAGGTAAATATAACAGCTATTTTGTTAATTTAATTTTTTTATACGTGTAATATTCTATGATTTGTGATGAGTCATTATATTCTAGTTCTTTTTACTTTCTTTCATTCTAGCTTTCTTTTTTAATTTTATTACTTCTGCTTGATCCATGCCTCAGTGTATATATAAAGAGATTTGTCTCTCTATAATAGGTTTCTGTGGGCTAATACAATCTTAGCCTACACGATGCTAGAATTTCTCAGAAAAAAATTCAAGAAATTTGCAAAGTCACCTTAAATATTTAATACTTTCAAATTCAAATAATCATAAAATCAAACAAAGAGTTGTAACGTAACCACAAAATATCGGAACTATAATGACAAACGATCATAAGGTAAATCACAGAAACCAATCGCGGAATATTATTTGAATAGTCCGTCAACAAAATGACACACATTTAATGACATTCACCATGAAATTGTACCCGAGTCATTTGCGTCACTGGCCGTTTGGGTTTACCAAGTAACCGCTGTAAATATCACAGTAAAAATAGTCAAGCAAATCCACGTGCGAGAGTTACAAGAATTCTGTTGTAAAAAGAATTCCTTTAATAGGAAAATATATCATATCTATTATTTATATTACGTTGATATAAAATTAAAATAATTTGTTTTACTAATTAAATACAAAAAAATATTTCTTTGATAACATGTAAGTTATTGATTGCTTTTTAAATTTACATACAGCATGTGAAAGACGTGCATTATCTTTTTTAGTAAAACTTGGACATATCTTTAGATTTTTTATATAAGTGTACCTACCTATCTTTATTAATATTATAAATGTAAATGTGAGTTTGTTTGTTGGTTACCTTATAGCGTTTTAATGACTTAACCAGTTACTATGAAATTTGGTATACATTTATTATATGGGATGTAGAAGGATATAAGATTTTTATCCCGGTCAGTATATATATATATTCCTGTCGAGCGGACAAAGTCACGGGTATAAGCTAGTGACTTATAAAGTTAAAAGGATCTTCATAACATAAAATGTGACTATTTTTTTTTGTTATAATTTTATTTATGGTATTAAAAGTATTTATTAATAATGAGTGTAAAGTGTAGATGTAATAAATATCATTACATTTATTGAGTGGTTATATGATGACAATTTGAACATAAATCTTATAAATAAATTAAATTTGACATGATATCGCGTTTAAGATTTTTATTAGTAAGAACATGCCTGTATATAATTTTTTCGGCATCTTTTCATGTTATGACACATAATTGATATTCGTCCGAAAGTCATCATTTCGTAATTCAGGTTCTTGTGGTTAATTGTTTGGTTTGGATGTTGACCCTGCCTTTCGATCAACTGTTTGTGCGAGAATTTAAAAGTAAAGAAATATTTCTCTTATTAAGACTAATACATCGAACATGATTCAATTTTTATGGATCTTTACTTGATAGTGATAGAGGGTTTGCAAGTTGTCTAACGCTATACTATTACAATATAAATACTTCGTTAGACAAAAAATATATCAATTTTGATGACTAATAAGGAAAATAAAATTGTAATGTGGTAATATTTTTAATAATATTCCTCCTTAACTACCAACTACCATTACATAACTACCATAAATAGATGTTTATTCAGTGAAATATTGCTGAATTAAAAAAAAAAACTTGCAATCTTGATTCGAAAGTAAGGATAGAAATTACCAAAATTGATTAAGTAAAAAATTTTCAAAAATTATTGCCTAAATTAAAGGGAAGCATAAAATTAATCGCATTTTTTACCGATAATAGGTTGCATCTATCTTACAGCAATGTTTATATTAATCATTATACTACACTGCTTCTTGAATAGTTGCATTGTTTTTCGTGTTCTTCTTGACAGTAAAATTAAATATTTACAGGATTTTTCTGGTACTTATTTTTTAGTTAATGAATAATAAAACATTGCACATTTAAGATGATATCCCAAATGTCATAATAGAGTGAGCCTGTATGATATTTTTCTGTCTAGGTTGC